CAGAGTCCTTTTCTCGCAATTCATGACAAGCAACATGAGTTTTCATTGAGACTCCATCCCTCTCCCACAATGTCCCCAAGGTCAACAGCAGCCCCACCGGACCTGGACCAGCTGGACAGCAATAAGGACAAGATCCCTGCATGTCAATCCTGTCGGCGCAAAAAGGCGAAATGCGACCGGGAACAGCCATGCTCACAATGTGTCCGCTTCAATGTAATCTGTCTCTACGACAACGGTCGCCTGAAACCTGGCCTGCGAGCCGGGGCAGTCGAACAGCTCCAACGTCGCGTGGAGGCGCTGGAGAACATGTTCATCGGTCAGGGGATTCTGTGGCAAAAGATCTGGGATACGGTGAGCAGCTCAACAGACGATGTTCAGCAGAACGACAGAGAGCTCGAGAGGATCAGCCTCGATCAAGTCCGCGATCGCGTCAAGGACACTCTACTGCAGCTGGCAGAGGAAAATGAAGGGTCTCTTCGTTCAGTAGTTGACGACATCCACGAGGACAGCATTGAGCAAGACGCCCCTCCGGCCAAACGCAGAAAGCTCGAGTCCCAATCCAGCGCGACCGAGCGACCAAGTCCACCGGGTCGTTCTTCGTCGGCTCATCTCGGCGCGCATGGTCTGCCACCTCGAGAAGTGATCAACGACCTGGTCGAGTTCTACTTTGCAAATGTCCACCATTGGATACCGATTCTACATGTGAGAAAGTTCCGGGAGCAGATACAGACCACCGAAGGTTGGGACAAAGCGATCCATATTTTGCACGCTATCGTGGCAACCTGCATCCGCTTCACCCACCATCCTGACGCTGGCACCAACGAGGTTCGGAGGGAAATGGCCGTTGCCAGTCGGCAAAAGGTCATCCTTAACAGTATGGAATCCTTCTCGGTCGAGAATCTGCAGGCTCTGGTTATTATTGCTTTTGACACTGTATGTCACATCACCAGCTTCTACGACAAATTTCGCTGACGCAACATAGATTGGTAGTGGCCGCGGGCCATCAGCATGGTCGATTGTCGGTAGTATGACTCGCACCGTTGAGCAACTTCAGCTCAGTGTAGAAGAGTCGCAGGGTGATCGAGGATCAGAGGCGGGCGAGTATCTCATCCAACGCATGGTCTTCCTCAAACCCTCCAAGTTCTGGTGGCAGGCGGAGGAGCGACGACGAGTATTTTGGACTGTCTTCCTGATGGACCGGTTTTGCAGCGTGTCGACGGGGTGGAATCTCAGCCTTACCAGTGCCGATGTCAAGCGCCGGCTGCCCTGCGAAGGTGCTCTCTGGGAAAAGGAATACGAGGTGCGAGCACCGTTCTTTGGCATTTCCGACAAAAGCACTTTGAGCAGCACTAGCCCGAATCTCGTCGACAATGAACCCGCCAAGGGCGACCCCGAGCAGGATGCGATCGGGGGATTCGCATATTGCATTGAGGCGACTGAGTCGCTTACCCTCGTCATTAACTTCTTTTTGCAGCACGCATTGGACCTCCAGAACGCGCAAAAGGCACAGTTATGGCTGATGAAGTTCAAGGAGCTCGACCTGCGCCTCGTGCAATGGAAGCTTTTCCTGCCACCCAAATGGCGAACCGCATCGGTCTTGAATGAGGATGGAGTGATGGATCCGAACTTGACTCTGGCACACATGACCCACAACACCGCGGTTATTCTCCTTCATCAGAGTATTGCATATCCGCCCTCGCACTGGAGACAGTGTCCTGTGAGACTCCCATCCGTGGCGTCTGCAGAGACATGCATCGAGGCTGCGGCGGAGATTGCCACCATTGGCCACCAATTCCTTCATCACTCCCCCATCCTCACCAATCCGCAATTCTCGTTCTGCCTTTTCATCGCCGGTCGCATGCTTTTGACACATTCTACATACACCAAAACGGCAATCCCCGATCAACTGGACAGCATCGTCGCCAGTCTCTGGGAGATATCCCAACGATGGGCAGGCCCGAACACACCTGGCCTGGAAAATCTGGCATCCGTCTTCGCAAAACGACTGCTCAACGCACGCAAGCATGCGTCCGGTCGGGCCAGCCTGGATATCCGGCGAACTGTATACTCGGACTCTACAGAGAGAGCGGACCCACTTCCGGAGCAAGACTCGGACGGCAACGAGGGGCCTGTCAATTCCCAATCTCGGACGAATCTTCCACGTGGCTCGTTCGACGGGTCTGGTCACTCAGCAAGCCCAAATCTCCCGACTTACTCAGGCGATTGGAGCAGCCGTGACCCTATGCAGAACGGGCCATCACCAAACGGCTCCCTCTACAATGCACTCAGCCTTGCCTTTCCGCCGCTTCCTCTCTCACTGCAGCCGCAGTATGCACCGTTGTCGGAAGCACAAATGCTCGATCCGGCTCTCCTGTCTAAGGATCATATCCCATCCCTATATCCCGCTCCGCCTGTAGAAACGTTACATGCACAACCGCTGTGGGACCCCGTCGCCCAGTCTTATAATGATTGTAATAATTACCCGAGTCCTGATTATGCGGATCGTTTCGTGGACTTACCATTTAGTCCAGGGCATCGAATAAGCCGCTACGGGAATCCTTCCATGAACAGTGAAAACATCCCTTCCAACGGCGAAGTACAGGGCAATATGCGATGAATTTCAACTCCACTCTGCGTTTAGCTTGGCCTACTAGTGCTCAGGCACAAGAGACCAAATTCTAATTCCTGTATTGGTAATGGAACTCTGAACATAATTTGCCTTCTAAAGAGCTGACACGTCAGCTACAGAAAGTAGTCAATCGACCCGAGATATCGTCTATGGCAACGACGGCACCAAACCAGACTCGAGCAGCATGTTCCCCAGAAGCATGAAATAATAGTCTGCATAGACTAGACCATGGTTCGCCCATCTTCTGGGAGCAAACTCATAGTTGTTGATCGTGGCACCGGTGAGGATTGTCTCTGCTGCTGGCTTCTTGCTCGCAGTGCCATTTATCCCTCTGCAATTTATCCCATTCGTCGCAACGGACATGACCACAGCCAAAAATCCAGGTTCTGGCTTCTCCTCGTGGTCGCAGGGCAACCCATCCTCGTATGTCTCAATGCCCCGGTCGGAGGGCCGAACAGTGAATTTGAAGGTCGGAGGGTTCAGAAACTTGGTCAACGTCCCTTCTACAATGCGCATGACGACAAGGAGATAATGCTCCGATTCATCGTACTTGCCCTGCGCCCTGAGCGCTCTGTAGATCAAGAGCATCCCACACGATGCGATCATCGCGGCGGACGTATCTCTCGGCGAGTCCCTCGTGACTGGTGCATCAAAGTCCCAGTACGGCACGCCATCGGCAGGCAGGTGCTCAATGAAGAAATTGGCAAGCTGTCGCGACGTCTGCAGGAACGATGGATCACCAGTCCAGTGGAATGTCTGCGCGAACCCAAGGATGCCCCACGCCTGACCTCTGGCCCAGCAGCTCTCGTCGCTGTATCCCTGGTTCGTCAACTTCTCCTTGGGTGTGCATGTCTCTTGATCGAAGTTCACCACGTGGTATGTGGAGTGGTTGGCGCGAATATGGTATTTTTGCGTTGTGCGAGCATGTGCAACTGCGACGTCATACAGTTGCCGATTGCCGGTCTCCTTGGAGACCCAGAAGAGCATATCAAGATTGAGCATGTTGTCGATGATGACGAGAAAGTCCTTGGAAGGATCCGTGTATGAATACCGCTTCGTCACACAGGTGTCCCAGCTGCGGATGGACTGGATCCTGGGACAGAATCGACTAGCAAGAGTATTTGCTGCCGTCACCAGACTACTAAACGCTCTTGCATCCCTGTGTAGCTCCCACGCTTTGATGGCCCAGGGCGCAACCATGAAGCCAAGGTCATGTGTCGTGTTAAGAGTGGCGTTCTGATGCAGGTTGACTGTCCACCACTGGCAGAGGTGTTGAAGAAGGAGAGGATGAGGAGTTGGCGCTTTTGTGCTGCTGTTGTACTTGGTCTGGCGCTCGAGCAGCAGGTATAGGGATCCGGGAAAGAAGCCAGACGTCCAGAAGCTCAGGTGTCGGTAAACGTATGTGGCTCCGTCTTTGCCCGTGTACTCCGGAAAGAAGGTGGGAGGTTCATTCTAGACCGTGTCAGCATGGCCCTCCTCTCTTTGAAGTGTATAAGCACCTTTCCCAAAGTTCTGCTGGCCACATTCCACAGTTTTGCTGCCACCGATTCAGAGTAGAGTGCGTGAATCACAGATTGAGGGATAACACCTGTCTTTGCAACTGTTCCATTCTGGTCTTTCGATTCGCTCTTGAGTCTTTTTCGTGCATGTTCCTTGATAGAGGAGTCAGTGCAATCGACGTGTTTCAGGAAACTGGGAGAGAAAACATACTTCCATATTGTCCAGCGACTTGGTTAAAGCCTCCAATATCACAGCCTGTATTCCTACTCGAGAGTGCGGGCTTGAAGTATGAAAGTGATGCAGATAGGAAATTCTCCCGCGTTTCAATCTTTTCCCGGCGTATACTCTGGTAGAGCCATCTCCATGACAAACCATGTAAGACCGGAATACGCAAAGCAGAATGTAACATCGACCCAGCCGAATCCCGCAGGACACGGAGAGCATGCCGAGTTCTGTTCTCAGTATCCCTCTTGCCATCAGATTGGTATCATCGTTAGGGCTCGCGGGCCAAATACCGGCCATTCTCCGCTAGCTTCATTTTTGCGCTAAGGAGCGATCCCTCGATAATGTCTTCCCCGCATTGGACAAGGTTTGTGACTTCCCAGCAAGACTCCGGAGAGAATAACGGAGCTTCTTCCGTTAAGCTCTATGCGAACCCTGCTACTATTCCTGCCGACAAATTGTTTTGATTTGCAGGAATCATCGGACCCCACGGGGCCTCCACAACCCCAGTTCACCCACCGTTAGTCTCTTTGTCCGTGATTGTACACCTGGGTATATAGGATGTCTGTCGCAGATCGACACTGAGTGACTCACCTAGCTCAAGTTTGCATCGTCTCGGATATACGCAGCCACTTATCCAAAATCGATCATGCCTGACATCGAAGGTAAAGTCTCCAAGGCCGAGCAGCAGGAGACGGTTGCTCCTGTAAAGCCCTTCCACCATGGGGAGCTGGACCAGGAAACAGCAGCGTATGCAAATTCAACCGCCGTTCATATTGATAAGGCGACGAACCGGCGGTTGTTTTGGATGATTAACCGCCGCGTGCTGGTGTGCATGCTTGCGGTATGTCTACCTCCCTGCTTGAGATGCTTGGATCTAACGACTGCAGACTTACTTCTGTCAAGCACTCGACAAGGGAACACTCGGCTTTTCTTCGATCATGGGAATCCAGACAGACGCTAGCCTCGTCGGCAATGACTATAGTTGGCTGGGGACGATCCTGTACATTGGTGTGTTGGTAGGCGAGTACCCGACCAACTTTCTCTTGCAGAAGCTGCCGGTTGGCAAATACATTGCGACCAAGTACGTTCCTCTACCTGATCGGATGATTACGAGAATTGACCGTGGATCCAGTGTATTTCTTTGGGGTGTTGTGATTGCTGTAAGTGAATCCGTCAACGGTCCGCGAGTTCGAGGCTTATCCTGTGCAGTGTAGCGCTGCGGCGACGAACTTTCCTGGTTTGATGGTGGTGCGGTTTCTTCTTGGGTAGGAGATTGTCCTGGCCATTGTATGCGTCCGCTGACAAGAGTAGTATCTTCGAGTCCTGTGTGCAGCCATGCTTCATCCTTATAACATCGATGTGGTACACGAGATCGGAGCAGACAATTCTGACCAGTTTGTGGTATTGCAGTATGTTCTTCCACATCTGTAATTTAAGGCCTAACTGACGTGCTATAGTGATGGGTGTCCAGCTTATGGTTTGTTCCTATACTCTGATTGATGAATTGTCTGACGGTAATAGATCGGTGGTCTGCTTGCCTACGGTGTCGAACACTACAGAGGCCACTCCATGAAATCCTGGCAACTTCTGTTTCTTGTGCTTGGAGTAGCCACCTGCGCCTGGGCTGTGTTCATGGGCTGGTATCTGCCCGATAGCCCGATGAAGGCCAAGTGCTGGAGCGAAGAGGACAAGAGACTGATGGTCGAGCGAGTACGCGCCAATGAGACCGGTATCCAGAACAGGGTGTTCAAGAAGTACCAGGTGCTCGAGGTTCTCAGAGACCCTGCCATCTGGCTTTATGCTCTGCTGCAGATGACCAGCTGCTTGATTATCGGCGGACTAGGTGTCTTCTCCAACATCATCATCAAGAGCTTTGGCTTTACGACTTTGCAGACCCAGCTGCTCAATATCGCACAGGGTGGTGTCACTATCGCTGTGATGGTCGGCGGTGCGTCCCTTGCCACCTGGACCAAACAGACTATTCTCATCATGCATTTATGGACCATGTAAGATGTTCCTCTGGCAGTTCGAACCGAGCTAACTCTGTAGACCCGCCATTATCGGAACGGCCATCATCTTCACCATCCCTCCCACACCGAAGACCCGCGCGGGTCTGCTCATCGCATTCTATTGCACGCAGTTCATCCTCGCCGAGGGCAACCTCCTCTTCTCCCTCATCTCGAGGAACGTGGCCGGACAGACCAAGAAGTCTACAGTCCTGGCAGTGACCTTTATCGCCTGGTCCGCCAGCAATGCCGCCGCTCCTCAGGTCAGTTCCTCATGGTCACTCAGACGACATAGACTAATATGTTTTGAAAACGAACAGATCTTCCGATCCGACGACGCCCCGAGATACCACAAAGGTCTTACTGCGCATTTTTGCTTGTACGCTCTGTTCAATATCATCCTCTTGACACTGCGGACTGTCCTTATGGCCCGTAATCGGAAGAAGAGAAGCGCTGCTGCGGCAGCTGGCCAGGTTTCGTCGTCTGAGACGTCGGTGGACGAGAAGATCGAGCACTCGAATGCCTTTTTGGATTTGACGGACAAAGAGAATCCGGACTTTAGGGTAGGTTCTGCCACTGGTACTCCATGAATCGACGGAAGCTAATATCGTGTAGTATGTTTACTAGGATGGACTTAGGAGCAGCTGGTCTGGTGGCCTATTTTATGTTATAATCTCAAAACAATACAAGTTGTACCGAATCCACTTTGGATGTCCATCGACCATCATAATATACAAATTGAATAAAATCAAACATCGTAAGGCTTCTCCTCGCCCGGCAAATAACTCGCCCGCCGACTCATATGCCTCTGCCGGTCTGCCTCCAACGTCTGCGCAAACTTGCTTCTCTCACGAATAATCGGGCCCTTCCAGTAGAAGATATATAACGGGATCAGGACAAGAACACCCGCGCATCCAAGCAAGGTACTCGCCCACTGCAGATGAAACTTCCCCCCAATATTCTCATACATAGGGGTGGCATACATGGTGGCAATTCCCGCCAGGAAATCCCGCGCGAAGCCGTTCCCACCCGTCGCTGAGGCGGAGTATGGCCCGTACGCGGCGACCATGTAGTCGATCGTGGCCATGTAGATGCCGTAGTTGGCCATGGCAATCAGGCAGGCGAAAATGCATGGTGCGATCCACGGTGTGTAGGCCGGCCCCATCGAGGTCCAAGCGAAGCCTAGCAGCCCGATTGGTTCCAGGGGTGCGATGAATAGGAGAAGGAGGAGGCGACGCTCGGGCAGTCGAGCGGCGGGGCCGTGCATCTTGCGGACTTTACGCTGACGCCAGATATCGGGCAAGAAAATCAGGTACGCAATCACGTAGCCGATCAAGATCGAACCAAATGTCATGCCGACAGCGAGGGTGCTAAATCCCCACTGTTCGAAAACAAGGCTGAACGACTCGGTGAAGATGAAGATGAGCGCGTCGGAGAATCCGGACAGCAAAGACAGACAGAGCACAATGGGCTCGCGCAAGAACATCTCGAAGGGCCGGCGCCAGACGCGCAGCACATCCTCGGCGTCCAGCCGGGGCGTCTTGAGCTCGTTGGGGCCGTAAACCTCGTCTCCGCTCTTGCGGCGACGGCGCGCCTCGCGGTCGATGAGGATGGTGGCGCGCGTTTCCGGGACGAGGAAGAAATGCAGGGCCTGGGTGACTCCGCCGAAGATCAACTGTACCCAAAACACCCAGTGCCAGGATAGGTATTGGCCGATGAACCCGCCAAAGAAGGGGCCGACAGTCGAACCCCCGACCGATGAGAGAACGACATACGCAACGGCATATCCTTGATCCTCAGCCTCCCACATATCGGCGGTCATGCCCAGCGTCACTGATCCACCGGCAGAGCTGAGGCCACCGAGCGCCCGACACACAACGATTGTCCCAAAGTTCGGTGCCACGGCGCAGGGGATCTGCCAGACATTGACCAGAAATAAACTCAGCTGCATGATGGGCCAGCGACCAAATTCCTCACTCCAGGGTGCCCACAGCTCACAGCCAAAGGCGTAGGTCACCAAAAAGATCATCTGGCCGACACGGGCAGCCTGTGCACTGATGCCAAACTCCTGCTGAAGCCCTGGGACCGCATTGGCGTAGACGCCCGTGTTGAAGTTCATGGACATCTGCACGACGAAGATGACGGTGAGGATAGTCCATTTCTTGTACCTGGGAAAGCAGAAGCCGAGCTTGTCGTAGCAGTCGTCCTCGGTGAGTTCACGCTTGCTACCGCGGTGAATTTCTTTCGAAGATTCGTCGAAACTTGCGTTTGAGTTGGGCTGAGAGGCATGCTCGCGGTGTGACTGGTGTGACTGGTCTGGCTGGTCGGATCTTTCAAACTTCTTGACTGCTCTGGCTAATTCGTCGGCCTTTTCATGGTCAGATGTATGGCCCGGCTGTTCTTCTGCCGGGGTGTTTGGCTCGGTGGACATGATATTATATGGATCCAAGTATCTGATCAGCGGTGCCGTTTAACATCACCTTGATGGCCGTGATGTTTTAGAAATGCAATCATTGTCTCCTGGGAGGTTGACCGGCCGGTTTTAATATCAATCTTCGATACATATGATTGCGGACCCTGAAAAGTGGAAACAGCCAATTATGCTCCATGTCCGATACCACATTGTAGGACCGATCCTGGGGGTGGATACGTTGAGCGTCAATGGAGATGTTGATTGCATAGAGCAGAGTTATGACATCAGGTATGGAGTCATAGTAAGGGGAGATCCGGATGGCATTGTTCATCCGTCGGAGTTCGGCTGTGAGATGTGCTCTGTTATGTATCACTATAGGTTCTGTGAACAGTAGGATTATGGATACTATATGACCTCAGACCATCCAGGGTTATAGTTATAGCGAGAATATAGTCTGTCTCTGGTTCAGTTGGTTCTGGCAACACTGTATTCATCTTGGCTGGGATGGCTAATTGCATCATTATATCAGACAAAAGGCTGTGCAGTTGAATCAACACTTCACCGCATGTACTCGGAAGAGGGGAAATATGCATCCCTGTTGCTATAACGTCATGGCATGCTGATATTGGAGGTTATTGGTGATCAGAACCAAGCTGGTGGAGATGCCGAGCATCAACTCGGATTGCCCCCATGTATCTGATATTCTTATTGATATCAATCCCATAATTCTTATCGCCTCTATACAACTGGAACTACACATGCATTATAAAACAATAAACTGTTCTCTTACTCGGGAAGATCACTACTGCCCTTCCGTGGTTTATGATAAACTGCGTCGAAACGGTTCCTATCATGCTTGCAGTCGTTCTTCTACCCCTGGCCGATCCAGTGAATACGTCTCAGCTAACGGCGGACTCAACGATGATCTACCATAAGGAACTTGAAACTTAGTTCTACAAATGGCTTTCAGGGGTGATACTAAGTAATCAAGATATGCCGCTGACAAAACAGCATAATTCCACGGAAGTCGTTCAAGCTCCTCTGCCTGCTTTGGGCTTTACTCCCAGGCGAATATTCACTGATAGCATGGAGGCAATACACGAGGCTCGAGTTGCGCTTGACATAAGATTTCCGGGCGTTACTCCGTACGAGGATGATCGACAGATCTCCTGCCACTTCAGACACCGTTGTGAAAGACGTGTCTTCACTGTCCTGCCATGGTAAGGCGGACGTTTCTTCACGTTCATAATCATCTTCATACTCTGGAAGACGGCCGAGCAATACTCCGTTAACCCTCAGCATGTCAGGTGAGGATTATCACGCACAACTCTCCGAACCTTCCAAGGAGGGATCTACCGACATAAGGGGCCACGACGCACGGGATATCTCGAGTTTAAATTGGCAAGGCTGCGATACCCCACACTTTTTAACCAGCCTACAACGGGGGGCAGCCCCAATCTGGAAACAATCTTCACGGTGACGCGGCCCCGCAGTTTCTCGTGTCGCTGTTCGCTTTTTCTGGAATAATGTGACTATGATAGGCCAGATATGTCTGTCTCAAACAGAAGAGCCGGTGTAAGAACCGGGACTGAGCCGCTGAGTATGAAGCTGGAAGTAAGGGTATGGCGGCCATGCTATATAAGCTGTCAAACAATGCACGTTGACCAACCACTCTCGGAGCAGTCATCCTGAAACGACACGGAGATGAAGTTCACAATTTGGTCGGGCCTACTGGCACTATCGGATGCCCTAGTACTCTCTCGCTCCGTCCAGCAACGTAGCAGCTTCGCCCATCCAGGACTCCTCCACACAGCTGCCGACTTTTCCAGAATCACCAGCAAGGTCAACAGTAAAGCTGAACCATGGCTCACTGGGTGGAACAAGCTGACCAGCAGCTCGTACCGATCGCTGAGCTACACTCCGAGCCCACAGGCGATCGTGTACCGCGGCAGTGACGGGACTCACACGGAGAACTATGCGTCGCTGTATAGGGACATTGCAGCTGCCTACGTCATGGCCATCTACTGGAAAGTGACAGGCGACACGGCCTACGCGGACAAAGCAATCAGCATCCTTGACGCCTGGGCATCGACCCTGACCGGAATCTCCGGTTCGTCGGACAAGTTTCTGGCCGCGGGGATTTACGGCTACGAGATAGCCAATGCTGCGGAGATAATGCGGACATACACGGGCTGGTCTGCGCAGAATGTCGCCAAGTTCCAAGACATGATGGTCAATGTCTTTTATCCGCTCAACCACATCTTCCTCGAACAGCACAACGGTGCCGCCATCGACCATTACTGGGCAAACTGGGACTTGTGCAACATCGCCTCCATAATCTCCATCGGGGTGCTGACTGATAACCGCACCATGTACGACGAGGGCGTTAACTACTTCAAGACCGGGGCCGGAAATGGGCAGATAGAAAAGATGATCTGGAAGCTGTACCAGGTCAACGGACAGACGCTGGGACAAGGACAGGAAGCAGGCCGGGACCAGGGCCATGCGATGCTCGATTTCGCTCTTTTGGGAGCCATTGCGCAAACGGCATATAACCAAGGCGATGACTTGTTTGGATATTTGGACAATCGCATTCTTGCCGGGTAAGCCTTCATGATGAAGGTCGTGCTCATACCATACTGACCTGAACAGAGCCGAGTATGCCGCCAAGTACAATCTGGGCAATGATGTGCCCTATACGACCTACACCAACAGCGACGTTACTCAAAACGTCATCAGTAGCGCCAGCCGTGGGGACATCCGGCCCATATGGGAACTCCTTTACAACCATTACGGAGTGCTGAAGCAGTTGAATGTCGAGTACACCAAGCAATATCGTGATCTGGTGGTGAAAAATGGCTCTGGTGCCGAAGGGGGCGGCGGAGACTACGGACCGAACAGTGGAGGATACGATCAGCTGGGATATGGGACTTTGATGTATACTTTGTAGGAGACTAAGCTATACCTATGTGCGGCAGATATCAGTTAAACCTCCAACACTGGTGCCAACCTTTTCCACAGATCACACCGATTGCGTTGGACGTCTGATATTTTCTCCATGACGGTTGCATTTGTCTGTATTTTCAATCTTTCTCCAGCACCCCAGGGCCTCCAGAATGGAGCGCCATCAACCCTGAGCAGATTCGGGTCCAACGTTCTTATGAAGCTGATATAGTAGTGCATCACAACCGGAATGATCGGGGCATTTATATTCCTCATGCTACTGCCGACATCACCTCCATAATTCAGTCCGAGGATGGCCGGGAGGTCAAATGTGTGCGTGACACCTAGCCCGGCAGCGATCCTCGGTGGATCCTGGACATTATAGCGGTAGTTCCAGACACTGTCAGACCTGTCTTTGAGAAATTCCGCCATGCTTCCAGTGATATGAATCCCTGGACATATGATGGTCGCATCACCAAAGGCAGCCGAAGCCGAGGGAAAGTATGCTGCATGTTGCGGGACCGGGTCCATCTTAGGGTATGCATCGTTAATGGCCTGCAGCTGCTTGGGGCTCAGATGAGGATAGAAACTCCGTAAGAAGATTGAGACCTCTGCCGGACTGGTGGCATTATAGGCAAAATAGGAGCCTTCATCCGTATCGCTGCCCACCATCACCGGCACCCCAATGAACTTCCCCTGCTCGAAGAGAGCGTAGAGTCGATCTCGGACTAGGTCGCCGTCTATGACCGGCCAGAACTTTCCCAGTCCAGCAGGATAGCTGATCGAGCCTTCATTTGGTGCACTCAAGTTGGCTTGCTGAACGGCAGAGACATCCGCCGAGCGCAAGCACGCGAGTGTCGAGCATCCCACGGCCGCGAGTAAGCGGCCGTAGAGTATCTCAGACTCGGAGATTGTGACTTGAGGAGCCAACCAGGGACTCTCTGGAATGGCGCCCACGAAAAGGCCGTCATTCCGGCCTCCATACGCCGTGAGATGGAACGAGACTGAGCCACCACCGGCTGATGGACCATGTATAACGACGTGATCCGGATTGCCGCCAAACTAACCTGTCAGTAACACAAGATCATACAATCTGACATAAAGCATACCTGACGAATATGGTTCTTCACCCACTGTAATGCCTTTCGCTGATCCAGTAAGCCAACATTCAAATCACCATGTTCTTGAACTTCCTTGCCCGCTAGGAATCCAAGCGCTCCCACGCGATAATTAAGGTTGACAAAAATGATATTGTTCCCGGATTCCTGGACGACCTCGGTCCCGTTGTAGTTGGCATTGTAATCGGACGCATAAGCACCTCCCTGGATGAACACCCACACGGGCAGTTTGGAATGTGTGGTGGCGTTAGAAGGAGTGAACACGTTGATAAAGAGGCAATCCTCCGCTCTCGTCGATGTGGCACTCTCGCCCGTTCCGACACATATGGGGCCGAACTGTAGAGAGTGAGCTTGGGAATCTGCTTGGACTGCATCATGTATTCACATCCGTTGCATCTTGTAGAGTGGAATTATGGGCAGGCTCCCGCGGAGCTCGAAAGCGCAGGTTTCCTAGAGGCGGTGCCGCATATCGCATGCCCAGGTACTGATCTACTCCTGCTGCAAGTCTAACTCCTTGATACCGCGAGTAGCCAAGGTCGACCACAGGTTGGGCTGAATGAGGTGCAGCATGTCCTATTAGAGAGCTGGACAATATACATAACAAAGAGGGCAAGATCATATTGGCCTTGATGGAAGTCGCTGATGAGCCAAGTTTCAATCAACGACCTTCTCCGAAGGATTAAATGCCCCAGCCATCCACAGATACCCCGCCTTCTTTTAGGCTGCTCGGATATTTTGACCCGAGCTATATGCAATAAGCACGCAAGTTTCATCCATGGCGTATTCTTGAGTAATCTGCACTAGCCATTGGTGGAATATCGGCAGAATGTCTACCAGGTTTGAACCCCCTGCTATATAACTATCTATTACAGCTGATCACGAAGCAGTAAACGTCAGGTTATGGACATGCTCGTTGGCAAACATGGGCACAAAATCAGCTGTGTAGTACCAACTCGGTTTCTTCATGCCATCGTAGATCTTCTTGCCGTTAACCACCAGATCCTCAAAGGTGACATTGGTGATGTTGCGCTGCTCATCATACCCCAGCATCAAGGACGGATTAGCATTGGTCCCGTTGTATTGCAATCCCTTGATATACACATTGCGGATCCCCCTTCCGGGCGACGTATTGTACTTGGAATTATACATGACGCGCAGGTTGACCAGCTGACCCTCGCGGAAGTTCTCGACGCGCATCCCATCCACCAACACATTCTGGATGAGGTTTTCGTCCCCGGCGTTGAGAGCCAGACATCCCTGGTACCACATCTGCGGCTCGCGATGGTCGAGGACATCGATGTTCCTGATCGTGACGCCGTCCATCGTCTCGGGGTTGGGTGTATTACCATGTGTTCCGATATTGATGGGATGAGCGTAGTCCGCCCAGAGCACGGCATTCTGGATGGTAAGGTTGCTCGAGTCTCCCGACCAGTTGTTCCGGTGCTGGTAGAGCGCAATATTGTCGTCTGAGTTGCGCATAAACACGCTGTCCACCAGCACGTTGCGGCTGCAGTAGGCGTCGAATCCGTCGCCCCATGCGCCGATGGAGAAGGACCGAATCCCGCGCACGGTCACATCGGTTGAAACTGCGACGCCGACATTCGTATTGATGAGGACTAAGTCGCTGACTGTAATGCGCGAGGAATACTCAATTGTGATAGGGGCATTGAGTAGCAGACCTCGGCCGCGGATGCCAGCGTCGGAGATATTGTGGAACCCTAGTGGGAGCGTGACAGTGGCCCCAGCAGCGAGATAGACGGTTTTACCGGGCGAGATGAGTAGTGATTTGTTCGTCCCGGCCGCTGTGCTGTTGTTGATACCAGGGTGGAAGTAGATGACTCCCGGATCGGATGGCTGAGGCACATCAGTCTCAATGGGGTTCGTGAGAAGGTTGAGCACGTCCCATATATTATCGTTGACCTGGATAACCACGTTCTTGGGAGAATCAAGAGTGAAAGTGATGACGTCCCCATGCACCTGTGGAATGATGTTGTATGATTGCGGACGGACGACGGCGGAGTGTATAGGACCATTGTGGTAAGTTACGGACACCTCGACGGGGCCACAGAAATCAAAGTATGCGACGGAAGTGTTGTGCACGATACCCGCGCCGCTGGTGGTATTGGCCTCGCCCACTTGGACAAGGAACGGTTGCACAGTGTACTCTTGTTTCTTGTAAGCACTTGAGCGCACTTGAACCGCGAACGAGTCATATTTATTCACACCGGGAGGAGTGGGATGGACGACAACAGGCGCTGTACTATTGCAGGATTCTCCAGCAACAAAGTCGCAGGTTAGGAAAGCCGCTGCAGTGGCTAACAATATATGCTTAAGCATGATGATCGTTGGATACTTGTCTGCGCTTGTTTGCACTCATCCTCCTGGTCCTATGCTTATATTTTGAAGTTATAGACTTGTAGTATTCGGCATATGGGAACCAGGCTCTGTCCGGGCCATCTGGCGGACGAACTGATAAGTATCCTTGACGATAGAGATGAGAAAACAATACTTTACCCCCGCATCTTCCTTTACTCAAGGAACCGGAGAATTTGCGGAGAGTGTGGGGGATGATCCGGCATCAAGCCTATTTGTGCACATTACGGTGGATATCCCGGCGATTTCCCGAATTCGGTCAATACAATGCAAGAAATACCAATTCCTATGTACGTCATTTTCAACACCTCAGATTCCGCCAGTGTTTGAATCAGATAGACAAGCACCGAACCAGACGATAGGCACAATGATATCAGTGAAGAACCCTAGGCATCTCAACATAGGCCCTTGAGAGGGATGTCCTCCAGTATACAACTATTTGTGCTGCGCCCTAAACAGCTTGGCCAAGTCCTCAAACGCCTTGCGTCTCTGGTCGATAATTGCATTGAACGTCTCAGCGGGCCCAATACTGCCTATCACGATCTGGTCTTGTCCCGCAACAAGACCTTCGAATGCAAGTTCAGTAAAGGTGTCCAGGGGCATGCCCAGCTTGCGCCCTGTCTCCTCGTCCATATAGTCGTGTATCTCGGCTATTACACCATTAGTCAATGTCCTCTTTCAGGATGCAGGAATGGCATACTCTGCACTGGTGGGGGAGAAATTTCAATCACCGCCACATTGGAGTTCTGCAGCTGGTCACGCAGACACAAGGTGAACACGTTCAATGCAGCCTTTGAGGCCGAATAGGCCGGCAGAGGTGCGGCTGGGACGATAGCCACATTTGATCCGGTACTATCTCGTCAGATCGTCACAATTCGTGGAACCATGGACGAGACTCACAAGATGATACTGGTGGGGCTTCCTTTTGCAACCAGAAAGGGTAGAAAGGCATGTGTCAAAGCGACCAGACTAGTGTAGTTGACGTTCATTTGCAGGTTGAATGGCATCAAATCGAACTGGCCCCGATCGTCAAGCTCAAAGGGGAGTTGAATTCCTGCGTTGAGGAAAAGGCAGTCCACGTCGGGGTACGATTCGATGATTCTGGCCCGTCAGCAGGGCCACATGACTGTATGCATTACTTACTCAGCTGCAAACTTTGGAATATCCTCTAGGATGGAGATGTCGAAGGGAACTGCGCTGGCCATTTGCTCTCCATGTTTCTGAACGAATTCGTCCAGGCGGTGCTTGCGACGACCAACAGCAGTGACCTTGACGCCGGCTTGAACCAGTCGGTCGGCCATGGCGCGACCAATGCCAGCAGTGGCTCCGATAAGCAGAACATGCTTGTAAGGGAAAGCCATCTTGGGTAGTCTTGGTAGGACTTAGACTTTGAAGAGATGATTTAAGTGTGGATAAGACAACAAATATATCTTTGATGATGACGTCAAGACTGGACCCCAGAAGGAAGTGCTTGTAAGAAGAATACAACAGGAAGTCTGAGCACCATCAGGTCCATCACTGCCTCCTTTATATATGACAAGATTTCTCTCCATCTTCTTGTTCCTCTTTTCATCTTCTACTGCCAGCAGCTGATATTGTAGTAATGGTCCACTTGGCGTCGAAATGCCTACCCAAAATGGACTAGCGTGTTTTGGTCATATTCCGTTTCTTCCACGTTCCTGTCCACTGTTCTTTCTGCCATCGGCTACAACAACACATCTATCTATCTATCTATGATTAATCTTGATGGTATTTCGTGGTCGTCCGTCAAAGGCCTGCCAGCGCTGTCGGACTCGGCGGTTAAAGGTATGCTTCCTCGCACACGCAGCCCAAACAGTATGTAACGGAGAACAGTGTGACTACCGTCGGGATTCGTGCACGCCATGCCTTCGTGCAGCTGTGGTCTGTCACGGACATCGGGACTCAGAGGAGATTCGTATTGAGGATCAGACCGAGGAGACGCGGCGCAAGGTTCTACTGAAGTCGAAACATGTCAGCCTGACCGAGTCTTCGCTGTCAGTCTCAGTCGACATCCAGGCCCGTATGGTCTTCTTCGCCCATTATGTGTCTGTAGGCTCCCGTGGATGGGACTTTCTAGTTCGATGGCAGCGTGAGACAGAGGTGGTACCTCGTTGGTTGGATGCGAGCATTGACGCAGTGAGCCTAGCTCTTCTGGCGCATCAACATGTCTCTCTCCCTTTATTGTCCCTGGCTCGTCAGCGGTATGCTTTGGCTTTGGGTGTGATGAAACAAGCTTTGAAAGCTCCCCCGAAAGCGAAAGATAGCCTGGTTGCGGCATCGCTACTGTTGGATCTCTTTGAAAAGATCACCCACACCGAAGCGAGCGTCATTCAATTCTGGCCGAGCCATGTCAACGGCACACTGGCTTTGATCCAGAAGATAGGAGTACAGTACTTTCAAGATCATTATGCCCTACGCATCATATCACGATTTTTAACCAATTATATGATCAGTTGTGTGGCCAGCGCGCATGCCGTCTCCAAAGAGGTTCTTGTACTCCGTGACCATCTGGAGCGTCATTTGAACTTGAAAGACGATCCCAAATGGCAGATGTCGGGGCTGACGATACAGTTTGCTTCTTTCCTCAGCGCGATTCGTACCGGCAGATGGTCACTTCAGGAGAGCATGGCTCACGCACAGGAGCTTGACCAGGCCCTTTTAGCGCACTCGCAGAATATACCTCCAGACTGGCAGCCGGAAAGGCGATTTCTGCGGCACCCCTTGCCCCATGTGTATGGCCAGCAGGTGGACTTGTATCGTGATCGCCATGTCACTCAGACATGGAATGTCGTGCGGCAGATACGCATCCAACTGAATCAATATCTCCTGGACTGCTATGACAAGCTGAACGCAATCCACGGAGTCAACCAGATCGCTGCGTCTGAAGCTGCGTTGAGTAATATTGCAGCACTGTCGCTCGACGTATACGCCTCCGTCCCACAGTATGCAGGTTACGGCTGCCGATCGAAGCGCAGCCAAGAGCAGGCAGATAGCACAGACCTCTCCATTGTCCCCCAGAAGGGCTGCGACAAAGTGCATACACCGTCCGAGGTCCTCGACTGCTACACTCTTCTGTTTCCTATGTACGTTGCCGCTCGATCCAAAGCAGCCACAGTCGACCAGAAGCAGTGGGTCTCGTACATGTTTCGTTATATCAGTGATCACTTTGGCATTCGTAATGCCTTACTCCTGGCACCAATACTCGATCAGAATACTGATATTAACCCATGGTGTATTTATGCCATGTTAGGGGGATACGGATTTGCCGCTTGATCGCCCCAGGCAGCCCATTAGTCGGTTTGTCTATAGGTCCTACCGCAGCCATGACCCAGCAGACCTGTCATAATATGCTGGTCCATGCTATGCACTCAATCGATAAAGCCGATCGATGTCATTGTCAGCATGTCCCCACAGTGGACATCTTGTCTAAATTTATATTCCACAATGATTGGCTGAAACGTTCACGGAGAACCGAACACTCCTTCTGATTGGACAATGCTTAATGACGTCGGTGGCATTCCGCACTCGGTGATGACATTCCATCCCGATTCAGGAATCCGCACACACCTGCCAGAAACGTGTCGATCATCCCCACCTTTATAAACATCCGTTTCAACTGACAGGTTTTGGTTGTTTACACTCATTTCCAACCACTGTCATCACAATGGCTGCCTCAACCCAAGAGACAGAGCAGCCTACGACTCCTACCCCCCAGGCGAAGAAACCAGCCAAGCTGCGCCCGCGAAAGAATGCAGAAGAGGAAACTCATGATGATAAACCAAGTGACGCTTCACCAGAAGCCAACAATACATCTGCAGAGGCCGATCAACCTCCCGACAGTAAATCAGTGACCTCGCCCGATCGTGGACCTCAACCTGAACCCGAACTCGAGCCAGAGCAACCTCAACGGCGCAACCGCCGCGCGCGTCGACCCCGGCGTGATCCCGACGAACAGTCCGAAACACTGTCAGAAACTGCTGAACAATTCGACACCTCGAACAATCGCGAACGACGACGTCGTCCCCGCCGACGTGACGAGCAGCGCATAGTGCCGTTCGGAGCTGACAGTGTCGGGAGGGAAGTAGGGCGAATGAGACAGGATGCCAGCGGTCCTCTGGATAATATCGGCAATTCCAATGGCATGATGATGGGACAGGATCAACAAAATCAAGCTCAGCCAGAGAAGAAGAAAGACGATAATACGTTATCGTTGCGGCTGGAGTTGAACCTGGAGATCGAGGTGCAATTGAAGGCGAGGATTCACGGTGATCTGACGCTGTCTTTACTGTAGGTCCTTTCTCCTGCTGCATTGGGCGTGTGCTGACAGACTATAGGAATTAGGGATGGCATCTACGGGAGTTGGGTGTTTGAGGTTTATGGATTCTCTCTTAGTTCACTCGAACAAATACTACCAGTTTGATATGGGTATAAACAATCTATATATTTAGCATCATTAATCATTCGTACCTCATTATCATCATTCGAAAAATGCAACGCTCAAATCCTGCCAGCCAATCTGAATGTCCTCATAGCAAATTCACCCGGAGAAGAGATACTAGTTACCAACCCCCAAGACCTAAGTATCCTTCTTCACTTCCAGTTTCTTCGGTTTCCTCGGTTTCTCACTCTTCTCATCGGTCCCTGTCTTCTCACCCTTCTCATCCTTCTCACCCTCACCCTCCGGCTCGTCCCCCTGATCCTGACTATGAGCCAACCAGAACCGGGTAATCGTCCCACCCAGGAAATGCTGATCAATAAACTTGACCATCCCGTACAAAACCCACCCCCATCCCCAAAGCGACACCCCCATCATACTCGCAACCAACAAGATCGGTCCCGCCAAGAGCAACGAGAGCACCGCCCAGAGCAGCACCGCAACAGCCGCAAAGAGAAACACGCCGGCTAGAAACACCAGCAGTGGAACCCCACAGCAGACGAGCTGGCAGATGATGAACGATGACGCGATGGGGCGCTTCAGAATCGCTTCATACATTTTGGCCTGGCGCGGAGGCGGGAGGATCCAGGCGATGAGGCCCTTGACCCAGTTCTCGAAGCGGTCGAGGAGGTTGGGGAAGAAGGAGAAGAGCCATGCCTTAAAGGAGGACCAGATGGCTGAGAAGGAGATGTCTGGTGCGGGTTTGTCATATTTTGCGTCGTCGGAGGGATACTCGCCTGGGATGGCTTGGTCGGTGACTCTGTCGGTGGTGTTGTTGAGTTGTTGTGTGGTCTGGTTGACGGTTCCTGACGCGGTCTTGGTGACGGTGTCGGTCGGTAGGCCTTTGTTTAGGCCGCTGCTTACTGTATTGAGGGACATTTTGTGGTGATATGCGTACTGAAGTGTAGCACTTCAAATGAACAATGTTGAGGTTCCGTTGAAATTATTCTTATTCTTGTTGCTGTGATCGTCACTTCTCCCGATGACGTAGTGGGCGTGGGCACCACATCACGTCAAACTCATCTACCCAACATGGAAGAGACATTATATTAAAGCCGAATCGGCCGAGGCTTCTCAGCGCTGACCAACGGAATCAACCCAGGATCCCCCTTAGCCATAGCAGTCCGATACGCGTCCCTCTGGTTGACCCTCTGCAAATACGCCAGAATCCCCTCATACCCCGCCAAACTGTACGGGAAGAACAACCGCGCCGTGGTCAAGGTAAACACATTCATCACATCCGCCGCCGTGAACTCCTCGCCCGCAAGCCAGGTATTTTTTCTAAGTCGATCATCCAGCACCTTCAGCGCCTGCTCGAAATTGCGCCGGGCGAATCTCGCGCTGGGATCGTCGCGGGAGATTCCCGATCGGAGGACCGTGGAGTACCCCACCAGCGCGGGCTGGAAGTATCCGTTCGCAAAGTGCAAGAAGTAGAGATAATCCGCGTAGTTGTCGGCTGTGGGAGGGATAGTCAACTTCCCATTCCCGTATTTGGTCAGGATGTACTCGGCGATCGCGCCGGATTCTGCGAGGGTGGTGGTGCCGTCTTGGATGACGGGGGCGGCCTGGGTGGGATGTCTGGACAAGATCAACTCATGTCGCTACAAATCTTCGGTATTTTGGGACCACGTACAACTGCTGCAATTCTGGAGGGGCTAAGAGGGTTTTTGCATCTCGCTGGTAGGTTTTGAGCTCGTAGGGAATGCCCAGTTCCTCGCAGAGCCAGACAATGCGCTCGGACTGAGATCGCTGGAGGTGATGTACAATAAGCATATTGTATCCTCTGAGAAATATGCTTGAAGATAAGATGAATTGAGTTGAATTGAAATAATCGGGGTGAACTTAAATACTTTTCCGACGGATTTCTAATCTACATCTGGCCCGATCTGATCCTGCAAAGTACCTCGGGACATGCGACCCGCCGCCCTGTCGGCATGCTAGGGATAAATTAGATTGCCAATGCCATTGTAATTAACATAATTGAAGTCATGCAGATTCGACTCTTCTGGTAGATAGACTACACGCTAATAAACAAACGAATACTAACAAAGCCATGGTAGCATCCACCCATGCCACTGGTTCTTGCAACCCTTCCATGTGCCACTAAAATAGTGCTTTACCAGCACATCGGGTAAAGTGTGATCTTCCCCCTGCGTGATGGCAAATGATCTTTTGGGAAGGATCATCACGTCTCGAATTCTCACTGGGTCCTTCAAGTCCCGTAGATTCTGTATCTGTTCCTCCGAGCAGCCCAAGTAGTCGAGGATAGTATCGGTCCATACACTCGGACCCGTCCAGTCCATAACATTGACCTCGGCATCACCCTCCAAAGCATGCACCTGTTCCACAAAACTTGGCGTCCTCTCCGCGATGCGAGTAAGTAGATCCCGGAACATGGGGTGCAAAGCAGTCGACGCCATAGTCMACTGGACGAACTGCGGCGAGCGAGGGAGACCTTGTGTGGTCGCGTCTCCTTCCAGTCCAATAATCACATTCGGGGGACTATGATACTGGTCCTCAGAACCCATAACTGTCCATGGCAGCGGCTGAACGAGGTGGACATCGAGGTCGCTGTACACTCCTCCTCGCCCGAACAGGACCAGGTAGCGACAAAAGTCCGACTTGAGCACCGCGTAGGGGAGTTTCTCAAATGCGGCTGCAATTTTTGCTGACGCGTCCACCTCGCGTGCAAGCTCGAGGCAGGCCTCTTCGCTCCAGTACTCGACTTTCCACCCGGATTGCTGCCACGAGATCACGTGATCATTGGGTTCAAAATGCGAGATGGGATGGTCGGGCATCGACAGGAGAAGCTGGTGGACAGTCTGGGGAATGGCAATCTTCGTCACCGGGGACGCCTCGGTGACGGCAGACAAGTGGGAGTGCTGACCATAGTAGCGATAAAGCAGCCACAGGACGCTGAAAAAGAAGATTGCCTGGATGGCAACGAAAGGCCGCATCGGTGTCGCTATCAACAGAACCCAGTTTTCGTCGAGATCCAAACAGTCGTGAGCAAGTATCTATTTTCCACCGCAGCGTTCGAATCCAGCCGACCGAACGGGCTACGGGAGCGGAGATCTTGATGCCGAAACGCCTATCTAGTCGTCCTTGAAGCTCGAGCGCATCATGAACCGGTGTTCCCGTACTGGTTGATCGTCGGTGGGCCTCTCTCTCCGGATATGATCTCCTGCAGTGAAAATCCCTTGCTGCTGATCCGAGTTTCTCTTCATCCACAGTGTTGTGGCTAGAATGGTCAGTGAATTGAAAAGAGCACACCCGGCATTCTGCACTCTGCAGATATTCTCAGTCTCCGGGAGAACGAGGGGGAAATGAAAGAGCGCCTGAAACTAGCAGCTTGGCGCGACTCTAGCTCCGGAAGTTGCGGCCGTTTGCGATAATTTTACTGTTTGGTTTGCGTTGTTTTTGTTTGGGCGTTAAGGCGCTAGTCCTATTTGGGAATAGTTTGGCACGTTTTGCTCAGAAAGGAAGGATCCAGAAACAGATCCTCAGGCTGGCCATCAACACTTTCCAGGCTAATATAAGCAGTTGTCTCATCCTCTATCCTACCTTATATCGAAAAGCTTCATCTACTAACTAACAGAAGCATCATCCAATCCAAAATATTTGTCAGAATATACGTAGTTGCGACCGCAGATCCCCACGCTATATGGAATGCCATGGCTGCTGCCTGATTCGCGTCTTGGCTTCAGCTCAGTTGCGGATGTGTGTTTTGTCTTTGAAACTGCTTCATATTTAGTGAGGTATAGCGTATTTTGGAATGTCTCTGAATCAGGTAATTTGATCGAAGTGATTCAGGCCACCGCGAGGAAGAAGACTACAGCTAAATCTCGTCATACGCTAGAAGTTGAGGCGCGTTGTGATGTGGGCGGAAGAGGTAAACATTCTGACTACTTGACGGTCGATATCAATTACCCCCAGTTTCTTCTGATAGTTCGTTCGTCAAACTTGACTGTAATTTCTGGATTGTTTCCCTTGCACTCATTGCCTCCCGCACGAGGCCATTTTTGTCCTGCATCCAACGCCCAAGTTTTCCCAGAAGCATAGAGGCGCGAGTCTGACATTCCACATCTCCATTGGGGAGTTGTACAACGACTTCGCTTCTGTATTGAATACATAAGTCCGGAGAGCCAATTGGCGCATAGATTCTCAGTGGATCGAATTTCCATTTCTGAGGCTGGAATATTCCCAGGGCATAGTTATGGACAATCGAAAGCATTTGCTCTGGAGCAGATAAACAACGGGGCTTCGAATGAACGTTATGGTGTGCAGATAGTCTCTGCCGGTAAAAATTCTCTAGCGTCTGCCTGTCTGCGTATTCCCGCTGCCTTTTGGCTTGCGCCTGCGGTTGCTAGTCCTAGTCCCAGCTACTTCCCCATTTGATGTGTCCTCTGAGCGGTTTACTTTGTATCCCCAGCGCCTGATTCTTCTCTCGAACATGTTCGGTCTGTGTCACACTAGTGCCTGACACTCCAAGAGTTCTTGCCGAGTGTATCTTACGACGCGCAAAGTCCATACACTAGCTTCATAATCTCCACGACATCTTACCTTTGCTCATATTGGCAGTATAGCCTCTCAATGGTGAGTCTCATCAAAGTCTGCAAAGATATAGCACAGTTAAGGTGCTAGTTCAGTGAAACTAGCTACATCTTGCATTTTTGTGTTTCTCTGTTTCTCTGCCAATTTAGGGGGAGGCTGGGAGGGTGAGGGCGACAACCCTGATTATAAATGATAGGGATGATAACTTGAGTAAGTTCAAAGTTATTATTCACATACATTTCGATTTTAATGATTATTTCTCTGTTAAAGATTGATAATAAGCTTAGTTTAAACCCTATAGAATGACAGACTCCATGGTGAGTTCTATTGTTTAACTAACCACAGCTCTAAATAAGTACTAGTAGTCCTGCAGAAAAGCCCCATGGAACCATATATTCTAGGTCCCACTCCCAACTTTATCAGCATTAGGTGCTCTAGTGGACTTTTCCATGGTTGCATACCCTAACCAGCACAGGTAGAAGGAAAAGCTGAACCTTAAAATTTGTAGTATATGACATAGTAATTACTGCAAGCGGATAGCTGTGGTATACTCTTTACACACTAGGAGTGCTCACCGTTATCCTTCCTAACTGGATAGACAACTAGGAAAAGGAAGAGAATCACACCACTCCTACACAATATTTATGACTGATTTAACCTTCCGGATCTATTTAGCCTTGGGGTAAACGCCTAAATGACGCTTAGACTAAGGATTATGACAAGATTTGGGAAGTTGTCATCTTATAACCCCACACAAATAATACATCAAAAGAGAGATCCTTGGACTAGAAGGGAAAAGAAAAAGCTCTGAAAACAGAATTAAAATGCTAATTACTACCATAATCAGATGACCATGGTCTAGAATCAAATTTAAGTTCTATGTGATGATTATGATCAAGTTCAACCTTTAAGTAGTTCACTACTTCAGGCTGATGGGAATCCACTAAACTGCTTAGAACCTTTGCTTTTTCTACCAGCTCTCCCTCACTTTTGATATTTTATAGATCCTGTGAGTATTATTTATCCCCTTGAGTGTGGTTGACATTTCACAAAGATGTCACTCACAGCTCCATACAATAATGCCATGCGCCTCGGTAACTCCACTCTATTCCCGCCCGATAACATCAACTTCTGACCCTGTGTATTAGGCCAAGGCTTCAATACATATACCCAGGAAATCAAGATCCAGAATGCTGTCACGATTGATCCCAAGGCTGTTACCAACGGAGTGGAGTCAAAGCAAGAAGCACCTGTGGTCTTGGCGGTAGCTGCTCCCAAATCCGAGAAACCTCTAGTGGAGACCAAGAGTGAGACACAGTCCGCTCCAAAGGAAGATGGAAAGACCAGTTCCCCAGGACCCGAGGTCAACGGAGTCGGGTCTGCGCCGTTCAGCAATGCTCAACTGGCAGAGCAGGCAGAAGATGCTTTGCTTGGAAAATCCGACGGAGATGTTGAGCTTCCTTTTGCCATGACTAACCCACCATCTCCACCGTCTGTTCAAAGTGTAACCTATTCGACAAGAGCAATTGATAATGTAGGCAAGTTCTAAGTCACAGCTTGAATGCTGGCTAAACATGAGATACCCTTAGGTCAGTGATGTTATGGACGCGCTGAATATCTCCGCAGCAATGTCCATCAAGTTCGGGACAATCCATGGAAACGCCAGCGCTGCGTTTGTTAATGAGAATAAGGTTCTTGAAAGCCACCTCAATTATGTCGTAAGCGTCAAAGTCAACAATGATGCGCCAGCAGAACCGGTGGACATAAAGTTCATTCCCATAGAGGGTATTGAACCAGAGGACTTCACCGGGATATATGGAGACAGCTTCATTTCAGGTAAGCCTGGCTATCATCTGAAGGGTTCCTGGAAGAGTAGGACAAATGCTAACTATATTATAGGCTTCCTGGAAGGGGGAGAATTCAATGCGATAATCTCTGTCAATGTTGATGATAAAAGCAGGCTTAAAGACATCAAGCAGGCAATTGACTTCCAATTGGCTGTAGGACCGTCTCCGCTCTCCGTAGGGGTTCAGGAAGGTCTAAATAGCAAGCAATCCGAGATCCTTCGAGGGACTGAAATTACGATCTCAGTCAACTGGGTCGGTGGTGGAGAGATCAAGCGACCGGATGTGCCGTGGACTTTGGACTCGGTAGTTCGGATTGCAAATGTAAGTTAGCTTCCGGAGGGCATGCATTTATTAAGCAAAGATTTGCTTATGCTCTTGGTGCAGGCCTTTCCGTCTTTGGTCGCATGCTGCTCAGCAAAGACATCAGCAGTGCTAACGAGGTACACTGCTCTGCACTCATTCCAGGAATGGAGGTACGGAAAGTACATAGCGCAAGAAGAAAATAGAAAGAAAGAATGGGAGGCACATACCTTGATCCTGAACTACGCCCCATGTGCCTTTTATACAGCGGATTTATTTGACGCTTTGATGAAGTACAAGAAGCTTTGGAAGAGGATTGACAACAGTACACCTACTTTCCAAGTATTCATTTTGTGTGGACAGACACTGACTGGTCCCATAGTGATGTCAGACACAAGCAAGTGGAAAGCGAGAGAGCCACAGAAGCAGTTGCCAACAGAATCATCACCGGGGTCGACTTCTGGAGGGGCACTGATCCAACCTGCTCAGAACGGACCCTTCACATCTCCACTGTCTGCACCTGATGCGAAGAAGCAGAGCGCAAAGCCCAAGGACAAGACTTTGGAGAGCCCAGCTCCTACAGATGATCCATATACTTTTCACCCTCAAGATTCTAATATTGCAGAAGATTGGAACTTGGCGTTGAATAATGCTAGGCGGGATCCAATTCCCTTGGATCCTGTGGCATTGAATGAAGCACGCCTTCTTTGTCGAGAAGCCATGACGTTAATCACCGAGGAAGCTACTCATCTTGTTGATCATCCTGATCAGGCTTACGCTCAATACAATCCGGAAACCGGCGAGACTAAAATGAAGCGTCCGGTCTATGCGTATCCTGAAGTCCTCGAAGCGCGCCTCCCCAGGTACATAGGAAACGACGCAGTAGAAGAATCGCGGCACGATGAAGCAGCTGTCAAGCTACAAACGTATAACAGAGAAGGCAACCTGTGGGGCAGGGAAGTTGGCGACGAGCTCAGCCCGTACCGTAAATACAAGTCATTCGTGTCTCTGGAATTCGGAAATCCCGCCTTTGGCCAAGGCAAGGAGCTTTGCTGTTTGAGCCTCCATGCGGCGCGCTATCACGCAAAACTACTCGGAGATCATTTCACCAGGGACTCCGAGAACGCAGTGGGAGCAATCGGCTTCAGGTTTCTTGGCGACACACGTAACCCGCGTGTGGAAGCTGATAAATGCTCATTCCATGCTGGTAACCCACGCTTTGATGATCCCAGCAAATTCCATATTTTGGATCTTACCACTGCTCATGATAGCAATCAGCCTCCAGCTACTGCTTCATCGACAATTCCAATTGATATTACAAGGATTGATGTCTTTTGGGTTCGAGGCTCTGGTCGCATCGCCGGTCTCGAGTTCTTCGACAACTTTAGCGGCATGCAGTCGAGTCGATTAGAGTGGAAGCAGTGGCAACACGAAAGTAAGCCACAGCCACAAGATATGTATGTTGAGCGTCAGGAGCCACCGAAAGACGGGAATTGGAAGTTTGCCGGGCTGTATGGGTACCACTGTAAGGACTGCTTGGATAGAGGCTCTGTGCTCGCCCGTATAGGCGGGATCTGGCAACGCGTGTGAGGTTAAATGTGATTACACGGAAACGGTTGACAGGATAGGAATGAAGACTGATCTGTGAGTGTATAATGAAGTCAGCTTTCATGTACTTAATGGCCTTGAAATTTCAGTGTAATTCTAATGCTGGCATAAGAAGAGTTCACGTTTCACCCAATGACTATGAACGTCCTTAGGTGTAATCGAACGCTGGTAGTGGTTATTCCTTCTTGAGCCTAAAATAGCAGTCTTTATCTGCTGGTCAGTGAGGCCTAATAAGTATCCGCTGCCCTACAAGGTCAGGCTTCTAGGCGACGAGTATCTGTTAAATGGAAAACGGGTAAACAGAAAAGGCCATTCGAATAGCGCGAGACCATACCGGGCCTCGCCGCTAATGAACAAGGCTACAATGGAGTCATACACAGCATCATGGGCCGTCCAGTCATTTCTTCAGTCGGGAGGCCCGGTGATGAACTGGCACTGTCCATAGCTGAGACTTGCTCGATAAGATGCATACGTCAATGGCAATGTTTCCAGTCCTCTGTCTCAATGAGGTTGACTTGCCGAGGATCGCTTTTACTGCCACATTTTGACCATCAGGCCCCCCGCAGCTGACATACTCCACAAATCACTGCGCGTTAAAGGCGACGCTTACCGGGCTGTGTGGATCATACACTTTTCTTACTGTGCGAGGAAGACGAGATTGGATATGTTTAGGGTATGATCTTGCCTATCGCTAAAGATGTGTCAGGCGAGAGCAATAAGCAGAGACACTGAGCATGGAGAGGCTGACGCCTCACATACTTTAATCCAAATATAGAATTGATCATTTGTTGATCTGATGTGAGACGGACGAGATTCAAATATATAATAGACGCTGCATCTCCACGTAGTCTGGACTCGGACAACAACCAGCCTCAACAGCCATCAATTTCTCAAGCCACATCCTATACGAAAGCATCAATATGAAGAACCTTTCCCTTGCAGCTTTTCTCCTCTCCCTCTCCGGCTCCCTCACAGCAGCCTGGAACGTCACCGCATACAGCAACACAGACTGCACCGGCTACCTGACCTCCACCTGGGGGGAGCAGAACTGGGGCTGCTACTTCCTTACGGGCGTCACCAAGCCCATTCAAGCGATGAGCGTCGAGAATCTTCCAGACGGGTGGAGGTTCATCGCATCGAGTGGCACGGGCTGCGATTACTTTCATCAGGCCGGTGGAAACGGATGTTACACCCAGAGCCAGGGATTTCAGTCATTTGAGATCATTGGGTCGAGCACCTGAGTATGTTGAATTATGTGGGTTATGGAAAGATACTAATCGGCACTTAGTTGAGGTGTCAATGATTGCAAAGTACAATGTTCGTCTTGGATCTGGCATTTCAGTTCCTTCTCTACGTTTTACTTGACAATGATTGCAGTTACATGGATACACAGTTTGTAATTGGAAGTTGACTTTAATATATTGAAATGGTCGTGTTGTTCTTCGAAAAGTCAATAGAATAGGATGATGGACCTACCGATGCTGAATGACCGTTGATTGAGTACGTCAATGTTACCGTAAAGCAGAGAATGTATCATAAAAAAAGAGGGCGAAGAAGTCAGCACCTCGATCCGGAAACGAAAGTAGATAATAGGGACCACACACCCGGACATATGGCATTCGTTGTGCCCTGGCATTAGGTAGCGCTGGCGACCCAAAGCCCCGAGCCAAGCTCGTCAACAACAGAGTCACACTGTATCCCAACAGACTGGGCCATATCAGCCGCTTCAGCCAGGAACTCCTCATTTGGCCGTCGAGGGTTCGTCGCCCAGACTCGAAGCGTAACCCGTTCCAAGCTAGGCATCCGTTTCTTTGTCTCAACAACACGCTGGTCGACAGCAAAGACCATCCCGTAAGGATCCCATGCGTAGTTGTCGAACCCCGAGAGATCATTCCGCATTACCAAGCGCTGTATCTTTGGCGGCAGGTACTTGTGGAAATCCGCCCAGTTCTCGTTCGAAAACCATCCCAGTAAAAGCGGCATTGGGACTTCGAGCTCCTGAACCTTCGTGAACTCACTGAACAGCATCAGGAAGGGATCTGTCAGCGTGCTGCCAAAGTTATTGTCCTGGTCCCAGCTAAATCCGCCAATGAAGCTTGGGTCAGTCTCGAGACCTATTGAGAGTGTCTCTAGGCGATCTTTCAATGGCCTTAACGCTTCAGCCAACTCCTTACTGTCGAAGAGGACTAGCTGCGAGACCAAGTTGTAGCAGACTCCCAGGTGCAGCCTCCGGAGATTCGGACAGGCGGAGAGTATTTCCTTGATACCGGCAGCATCTACGCTTGACCTAGCCAAAACCAGGCTTTCGAGCTCGCCGGACTCCAGTCGATCCTTGTATTCATCAAACCCGAAGGCACTTCTAAGCCACATCTCCACGTGTTTCAGCTTAGGCAGGGCGAACCAGGAAGCAAACTGATACTTGTTCCCGAGTAGCGGAATAACTGCCACCGCTTCCTCCGCCTCATCGTCGAGTTTCTCAGCCTGGGGAACGTCGCCGCCGTACTTCAGGATCTCCAGCCTATTGAATCTGGAAATACCTTCGAACGAAGAGCGGAGGGCGTGTTGAAGGAACAGACCGGGGAAGCCACCGATCAGAGTGTACGTATAGTCCAACTCCAAGCTTCGCAGGTTATGCAGCTGGAAGATCAGAACCGTTGCATACGCGTAGTAATTACCCTGTCGGAGCAACGCCGCGTAACCCTCAGTGTCGAAAAGCCCGATCTGCCTGACGAACTCGATTGCCTTTTCCGTAACATAGGCAAATCTCGTGGCCTGCTGTGGAAAGTCAATATCTGGATCAGGCAGAACCCAGGCCGGTCCGATGTAAGTGAGCTGGAGGTGCTTGACATACCCTGCAAATTGCGGATTCAGGAAGATCTGTTCTAGAAGCAGGAGTACTCGTCGGAGAGGCGTGGCCGCGTATGTCCAGAGAATGTCCCGGAAGACGAGAGGTTTTGCCCATTTGCGCAGATCTCTGGATACATTCGAGACGGCCAGGTTGTCGGCAGTGTCAAGGTTGTCAAGGACATTCACGAGACATTCAGGGGGAAGCATGCTCAGTGGGCTAAAGTTGTCAGCTGTATTCTCGGAGTTGTTAGCAGAAGATACTGACCCGGCCTGCGGATCCATTTTGGGATGCTTGAAGTTGCTCTTTGGAAGGTTCTTGAAGGGGTCAGAGTCGATATGAAAGATGACAGTAATTGGGTCTGGACGGCACTGGTAAGGGACAAGGTGAAGTACTGATGAAGTGAGAGTAAACTGTTGGAAAATAGAAAGGACAGTTTTATATATGTCGGCAATTGCATTGTCTTGGAATGGCCTTGAGTGTCTAGCATGAGGGTATATTCACTGCGACAATATCATTGTGCATGAGACATGAGCCTTTGTCTTTCAGACAGCCGACATGTTTGTCTTCGGCCCCATGGAGAGCTCTACCACGCGACTGGGGTACGTTCAAGACATCTCTCTTTCTTTCACCCAAGACAAGAACAAAACAATTGGCCATGGAGGAACAAAGACCATTAGGAAAGTCCTATATGAAGACAATGACATTGTACAAGATTGGAAATTTCGTGTCTGGTTTCCCTTCCACGGAGATCCCCAGCTTCTACAGGTAGACCCATCGCGAAATAGTTTCTGCCGCTGTAATATTTGTCTCAGTTAATGGTCAGTATATCAGTGCATGAGAAGTCTCATAATTGGCACACCATCATTCATCCATCCAGTCAATCCTGACAGCAGCTTAATACTGCCTCTATCATTCCCAAAACTCGAACATCAAGGATCCATTACCTGGTTGAGATAACATGGCTGTGTCATGAATGAGCGACAAAGTGAGGAATGCATTCAATACCCGATTCGTCCATGGCAGCCCGCCAAGAATAAATGCTGTCATCCAGCCTACCTCATCATCCGATACTGACCAATAATCTCGCTCAACTCTCTTGACTGTTGGAACGCTGCAGGTATGCATGCACAGTGCGACGATCAAGAGGCGCTGTCCTCAGCCTTGCGCTGATCTTACTGCCCGCCAGACACCCCTATCCCATCGACGGTCAGGCGTTCAGACCAAGCACATAAATAGGCCGGCAATGTCCCTTGGGATGTTGAAACTAAATTATACCCCGACTGCCAAGCTTTATCTTCCTGTCCTTCCACATACCGCTATTTGACCATGCATCCAACACAGGACCAAAGCACGCTCCCGAACAGCAGCTTTGAACAGGGCAAATGCATACGGCGTGAGGAGGATTATCCCCCCGACCAGCAAGAACTGAGTCAAATCCTACGGGACATGCGCCAGGCCCTTGACCCCATGGGGATCACCTCGCTGGGTGCAGATGGTGTCTTCCGCTACCTAACAGCAGACCGAGACGTAATCGACGCCGTTGGTCTTCGCCCAGGCCTGATCAAAGCCCTTCTTGATCGTATGCCGTTCAGCCAAGACGCTGAGGACAAATTTCGCGGAGTTGATGGGACCCTTGTTCCACGGGAACAGTGGTTTAACCCCGACAAAGGTCTGTTGCCGCCGCCATTGCCGGAGGAAAAGAGGGAACAGGTGAGAAAGAGAATGGCGGAGGGTGGGGAGGATTTTCTAAAGAGGTTCAACGATCCGAATCGGCCGAGATGTCCTCTTGTTTTGCGATCGAATTATAACCTCGACCCAAAAGAGGAGGCTGCGGCGGTCAGGTCCTAGATATTTATTGCTGACTTCACAGATCTATTGATCTAAGCCAATCTTCATACACCTAGTTATTCTCAAACAATGCAGATATTTCCTCTTTGTAAAGCTCCAGACTCGACATCCGTGCCACACTACCCTTGACCGTCCGAATGAAGGGCCTGCTTCCACTGGCGAAGATCAGACGCTCCGGACTCAGCTTCACACAGTCATGGCAGTGCTCGTTGACTTTGTCAATATACGGCTGAAGGCTTCGGATCATTGCCTTACGACCACCGTCAGATGCCACCTCGGTCTCATCATGCAGCTCCACCAGAAGCACCGGCAGCGGCCGTCCGTGACCCCCAATCAGCGCCGATTTTACCTTCGGATGCTGTTCTATCTCCGGCTCCAGCGATGCAGCATAAAGCCCATCCCCATGACTCAGAGGGAGATAGTCGTCCATGCGCCCGACAATCTTCCACAGCCCTTTACGCGTGGGATGCTCAACCCACAGATCCTTCGTCTCAAATCGGTCGAGGTCCGGATAAAGTAGGAAGATCTGCTGCATTTTACATTCGGGCACACGCACAAAAACAAGCTCGTGGAGGTCTCCGGAACGGGGCTCGAAGACCGCCCCGGCGTGTTTCTGGAATTCGACGTAGTCCCAGTCCTTCTCGTCATGACGGAACTTGGTGAAGTAGCCGCCCACTTCGGTGCTTCCGATTGCGGGAGCGAGCTGGACGTGGGGAGCAAGAAGGTCGCCGGACTTTCGCGAGAGAGGAGCTCCGCCATAGCTGACGAGCCTGAGGTTCCTCAGTGCAGAGAGGGCTCGGTCGTTTAGGCACATTTCGTCGATGAGAGCTGGGGTCAGTAGTGCGCTGTCGACACGTCCGTATTTGAAGATATCGACGACAGTATCAGCGGAGGGAGGCGTAGGTGGGCCGATAACGAGCGTTCCGTGCGTGTATGTGGTCACGGAGAGAACCATCATCATTCCTACCAACTTTGGATGGTCAGTTAGAGGAATAAGTTATACGAGAGATAGATACATACGTGCAAAGACGGCAGAGGTGTGTACCAGCGTCTCCCAGGAGTGTGGTGCAGCATGAATTCATCAATGTCCGGCAAAGACGCGGCCAAGTCAAACGCAGCCATCATCTGGTGGGTGTAGATGATGGGTTTGGGATATCCTATCTGTGTCGGTCCATGAATACTTCCTAAGATACTTCGGGATCAACTAACCTGTCGTGCCAGAAGTATGAGCCACCAGCCAGGGATCATTCTTCCCTTCTTCCCAGGATTTGGGGTATACATAAGGCTCAGCAGCTGTCTCTTGTAGTAGGCTGTCAAGTTCAGGAGCTGTAATCTGTTGGATATGGGATGCATCCTCCAAAATGGTACCAACTACCTGCGCCATGCTGGACGGTCTGATATAAACCTGACATTGTGTCTTGCTCAGAATCAAACGCTGCGCTACGGGCGGAATCAGCGGCGATGGGAGCACCATCTGTCTATCACTCAGCGGAGACTATTTACGCCAAATCGCCTATACTGACCACTTTCTGCAACTTGCCAGCCGCGGCAGCAAGAATGGGATAGCGAAGGTCCTTAGGGCCTGCATAGGCGAACGATTGAAATGGCTCGTCGGACGCAGGGAGATTTTGCCGCAACCAGTGAACAGCATGGTCGACTGCGTTGTTGAACTCTGCGAAGGTGATCTCTTTGTATCCTTGAGAGAGATCGTTGTTGTCTATAGGCGCCGACACCCAGGAGCTGTCTGGATCGTTCTTCGCTCGTTGTTCAATTGTCGACACCAGAATGCGATTGCCGTGTTTTATGCCGGGCAGTGGAAATGTAGCTACTTGAGTCATGGTCACTGATCTTGGGAGGTGAAATGCGAACTGTTTGAGTGACTCGTCGGATTTGCAAGCGGGGGTCCTCGAGTTAAATATTATATATATACGAAGGCTGACAGGGATCAGCGCGGGGTTACCGAAAAAGAGCTGGGTAGAAATGCAGCTAAGTCTGGTCGTTCAGCCCCACTACGGATATTCGGATGCTTGATCAGCGCTCTCTGACATGATGTGAATTTATGCTACAGTATCTATGCATCGACATGAATGAGGGGCCAGACTGTACCTCTCGTAGCCATTAGTTTGTGCTGGAGAGGGCAACTAGATTTGTGCGGCCGACGCGCTGTCCACGTTCTGGTCTACGTTCAACGACGGGCCCAGAACTAATGCAAGAAGAGTCTGTCGGCGTGAGACTAAGGGCTAGACACGGCACTACTTTGATGACAAGACCGACTCCCGAGGTAATCGATCAGATTACTCCCTCAATGCTGACATCGAATCTTACTCAACTGTAGGGGTGCATGCAGTTGGGAATTTCCCGAGTCAAGGGTAAAAGAAACTATGCGCAACAGATGATGATACGTATTCTAAGACAACCTCTGCAATGCCTCTTGGCCCTTGTCATCCGAATTCGGGTACTTTCTCAAATGGCACAGATCCATCCAGAAATTCTTTGCGTCCTTATGTCTATGCCATGTAGTGCCAATCGCTCTTGTAGCAGCTTTTCCACTCAGCATCCTCCTCAGTCCATCCCCAAGAGTCTGAAACATATTCAAACTATATAGGATAATAGGCAACGAATCCCCAGTCCAGAATTCCGGCCAGTTGTCCACCTTGAACCATGATATTGCCCAAATTGACATCGTAATGAATGAGGACATAGGGTGCACGTCGAGGCAGAAATTTCCTCAGATTCTCCAAAACCCGTCGAGGGAATTGCTTCGTAGGTGGATTGTGAAGGGTAAGACTTGTAGCATCCCAGAGTTCGAGGTTAGAGTGGAAAGGTCCATTGGGCTCGCAGTGAGAAAAGATCAGCCCCGGGTAACAAGGACTTTGATCAACACCCTGTATACCGTCCGATCTGAGGCACCGTATCTGCTTGCCAACTTCAACGACCTGATCTGCGATGGCCGTTTTCTGGGATTGTGATAATGGTAACGGGAACTCTGCATGAGATGAATTGAAACAGACGCTGGATAACCATATTACAGTATGTCTCGAAACTGGTGTCAGGTGCCACCTCCTGTACTCTTTTGACTGGTAGTCAGCTAGCTAGCTAGCTAGAGATGGACCTTCAGAGATCATCACTCCTGAACTATTGCTTGCTAAGTATTAACCACCCAATTGCGCCGAGCTTGGCCCCACTGCGACGCAAGGTCTAGTCACACATGATCAGAGCTGGAGCAATAGTTAGTGCTCATAAGCCAATTATAAAAGGGGTGGTCGATCTTTTACGGGTACGCTATGATAGATCAGATTCTTTGATCAAACTAATTAGCAAGTGACGATCCACGCCATGTCAGTATATAAAATAAGCCTAAGTCCAGTAGCTCATTCATTCTCTATCCAAATTATTTCCATTTCACGCCGATCTTTCTAATAACAATAACTTCCTCTCTCCCGCCAACTCATTTCATTTCCAACCCATCATGAAGACTGTCATAGCTTTTCTTGCATTAATTGCCGTCTCTGTGGCGAATCCAGTGCTCTCTCAGCGACAGGGCCAGTGTGCTGCTATTGCCGAGGAATGCAAAGCAAAGGTTGGTGATGGCTATTGATAAGGAAATCCTTCGGTTCCATGTTTAATGTCATCGGCATTCCAATTGCAGCAAGTGGAGTGTGAAGCGCAGCACCCGGATATTGAATGCCCTGTCGACGTTTCACGATTCTGTCCTTGCTATAATGTCAGTCATTTTTGTTGCATAAGGCTCTGTGATTCAATTACTAACAAGTAACAGGTTGCCAAGGACTGCATAGTAAGCCTTCTACCTTGAGCTGCTTAATGCCGATATCGTCAAATACTGATGCCATTCTCTCAGAAGCATGCTGGATGCCAGTAGTCGTTTAGTCAGCGGGCCGAAGAAGCCACAATTCGAAAAAGATATGTTGCTAATGGGAAAGGGAACAAAGTCAGACAATGCTTCTTGGCTTGCGCGTCTTGTTGGTAAGGTGAGGGATTGCCGTCAATACACATGATCAAACCAATATAAGCGCATGTAAGATCAGTATCATTGTACATGCCTCCCTTTCTAGAATGGCGATCAGTTATGCTTTCTCTATTGTTATACCTGCATGCTGAAGATGACCTTCAGCACTCTGCTGTTTTTCATTTTACTTGACATTAAGAGATGATAAGTAAAGTATAGGATGGCTGTCACTATCATAAACCTAGGTCATGCCAGAGGCACGTCAATGCTATTATGTCGTTTCAACTCTCGCCTAGGATTTATCCGTTAGTTACAATGCAAAACTTGACAATCATGGACGATGTGGTTATATTTGGAGTACTGTACTAAATACCAAAGTACCAATCAAGCTCATCATCAATCCCGAGTTCGATAAAGTATATAGCACTAAATTCAAGGGACCCACAAAACTCTGACTTGTAGAAACGGACAAACTGGAGATCTTCATCAACATAACCACCGCTCAGGCAGGTTCGTAGCATCTGATTTGCGAGCTCATAGGTGCATGTTGTGACACCAAAGGCTTGGGACAAGCTCCCTAGCCAACGCCCTGTACCGTATGGATCAGACTCAAGAATACTCTCAACCAATGAGTTTTGCATATCTCCAAAGCTTGGGAAGCACTTGCCGCAAGTCTGCAGGCCTAGAAACTGCCGAATTTCCCGATTAAGTAGTGTTTCGAGTGAGACGCGATGCTCGACGTATTCCCCGGGGATTTCCCACTCAAACAAGTACTCACTCTTGAAGACGTCAGCATTCTTATAATCTCTTTGTCGCGCAAGGTCCTGAGCATGATGGGGGCTGTTGTTGTTTTGACCACCCGGCACTCGGATAATGACTATCCAGATTGTTCCTTCAGCTTCACCGGAGGAATATTCCCCTAAAGCGCGGTTCACCGCTTCAAGGAGACGATTTGTAACAGAAATCAACGCAGTAGGCTGTGTATTTTCGCGTATCCGATGACTATCGAATTCTTCAAGGAGGCGCACTTTAGATGGCGCCGGACGGACATCGTGATACCTTCCCGATCTCAGCTTCCCAGCACTTCTATTGGAATAGCAGCGATAGAATAATTGAGATTGCGCATGGTTCACGTTGAAATGATAGCTCAACTTAAGTAATCACTCAGTAAAGCAGTGAGGATTCTCTTCTTTTTCCAACGGCAGTCTAAAATTGTGAGGTTGATGAATGGTGGAGAATGAGTTGTGGAGCCAAGGGGGTCGAAGAAGAGATTGTTGTGTTATTAGAGATTAAAGTGAAGGATAGTTACGTACTCACCGCTGCCTCTGAGCCTGTTTAATCAGGATCCTGGTTGTTAGTATGCATGGAAATCATGCGTGTCGGCACTCATTGGCTGTTTTTTCTCTAGTTTGTCTTGGATGGCTTGTGCGATGGCTGGGTAGTATCTTTTAAGCTGCACGGTCAAGGTCAAACCCGCGGCAACCAGAAGTACTGCATGTGATGTGTTGCATGCAATGGAGGAGACGAGACGACTCGAGGCAACTCGACTTCTTTCAAGCTCAAATGCTGCCCTTTTTGTCGTCGGCGTCAAATTGGCGTTCCTAAGTCCGCGGATCAAAGCCAATCGAGACACTAGAGGCTTTCTCTCCACCATCTCCTGTAAGTTAACAGAGAGGTCAGAAGTGCCATGTTTGGCTAATTCATACGTTCAACACAATCAGCAGTGCATTCTTCATGTAATTAAGGAGCCATTCCAGATAGAAATCAACAGTTGAGTGGGGAGGATTCGCAATGTACCACGCATCCTGGAACACTAAATATATTGACTCGGTCTGCGTAGCATAGTGATGCCCCTCGACGATTGTGAGAATGACCCAATATTGCCAAGACAGCTGTCACATGAAAATATTGTCCTTGAAATACTATGCCTACATACAGCTCAATGCTCTCCAGGTAAAGGAAATCATCTTGGGCCCGGTTTCACTGGTAAATGAAGTCAGTACCTAATGTACTATCGCGCTGAACAGCCTCATCTTACTGTTGGATAATCCTAACTGTTTCCTGCGTAATTTACTTATGTAAAGCATTATCATCCCTGCAAGCAATGGCCAAGATATTTAAAGCGAAACACTGTACCCCGCCGATCTGTATATTAGCGCCTGATTGGTGCCAGGATAGTGCTGACTGCTGACATCAGGATTCAGGCGTCCAACAGCACTACCCCATACAGACCCCCATTTAAATTCACAGTCTTCTACCCGACTCCGCGATCTGTTTGTAGCTATAATAGAAATGCTACTTCACAATGACGTTTCCTTTCAGGATTGTTGAACACATCATACCCGGACAGCACATCCGAGAACATCCACATGCGCTAAAAGGACGCCAGGAAGCTGCTTTGAAGCTTGCGATCAAGCAGTATATTCCGCTAGATCAGACAGATCCTATTCCCGAAAATGCCGTGACAATCATCGGGGCGCAGGGAAATGGATTTCCAAAGGTGAACATTCTGTGCCAGGACTTCGTACGTACGTGTCTAAATCCAGATAGGAGGTATATGAGCCGCTGTGGGAGGATCTCTACGCCCAACTCAACAAGCGGTCGATTCCGGTGCGCAGCATTTGGATCGCCGATATCTCCAATCAAGGCGCAAGTGGTGTTCTGAATGAACATGTCCAGGGAGATAATAGTACGACTCATTTGATTCGTTCGAGCGGATAGATGAATCTGATGACAAGCAGCACCATGGCATGATCATTCCCGGGATCTCTTGCATATGGTCAACCACTTCCGCGACGATATTACTCGTCCTATTATTGGAGTCGCTCATAGTATGGGATGCGCACAGCTGTGAGTTACCTTATAAATTCATGATCACCGTTGACAACCTGCAGCGTCCATTTATCCATCCTTCATCCCCGTCTTCTTTCAACACTTATTCTCTATGAGCCCGTCATCTTCGGGGAGCCATTCGGAGGCCCGAACCCAGCGGTTACGGCAGTGCTGCGTCGAGACCTATGGCCTTCACGAGAAAAGGCCGAAATGCAGCTCAGGAGAGGCTTCGCCAGGTGCGATCCCCGAGTGCTGGACCGCTACCTTCGCTTCGGTCTGCGCTCTGTGCCGACGCGCCTCTACAACCCCGAGAACGACCCTAATATCCCCAAGACAGCCGTTACACTTACGACCAGCAAGCATCAAGAGGCCTGGGCTTACACCATTCCCAATCTCGAACCCGAATCAGCAGGGCTGAACGACCTCCTGCTTCCCGATTGGGATCCAGTCCTTGAGCGCCCTGCTCCATTCTCCCGGCCAGAAGCTTGGGCGGCTTTTCGGAATCTGCCCTTTGTGCGGCCAAGTGTATTATGGGTATTTGGTGGTCGGAGTTGGCTTTCTCCGCCCGTTGCTCAAGATTCCAAGCTACGAGCCACCGGGACTGGCATTGGGGGAAGTGGAGGCGTGAGTAAGGGGATGGTGGATAAGGCTGTTTCACCAAAGGCGACACACCTTGTTGCTTTTGAAGAAGTGGATTGGTGTGCGCAAGTCGCGGCAACGTGGATAGAGAAGTGGTTTGCGCGATATTTGAAGGAGGAAGAGTTCTGGCGAACGTACCAGAGCAAGAAATCGGACCCGGAGATGCTCAGGAATTCCGAGGCCAGTATCCGGGTTGCCAAGGTGGTAATAGGGTCCCGTGGGGGTGTCGCCAAGGGAAAGCTGTAATTTTGTCATTGTGAAGCATAAATGACGCCCATGATCAAGTGTGGTATTACATATTTCAGTATGTGTTTGTCGTCTCAGTGAGCTATATAAGCAGTTCTTGGCCGTCTCTGTCTTCTTCACAGGCTCCAACATCTCCTAGCCATGAACCTGTCCATCAGCCTGAGCACAGTCCTCTCAACACCAGCCTTTTGCAGGCGTAGCCCAAAGGCCTCCGCACGCTGGTCGGTTCTAGTTCGAGCTATCCCTTAGACGCCGTTCGCCTTGAACGTGGTCCGGTCACTGTACCCCGAGCAACCCGGACGTCGAACGGAAGGCCGGGGCCTCGTAGGACTCGGTGATGGTGATGGTTGTGGGCCGTTTAGTCTCCGTGACAAATTGAAAGTAACCTAACGGTTGGTCCTCCAGCTGTTTAGGTGACCGTCACCGTCTCAGTGGGTTTCTCAACGGACGTCTGCGACATCCAAGGCTTGTTGATGTTCTGGTCAGTATAGGTCTGCTGGTCGTATTCCAGGCCTGCTAGCTTGACAACCTCAAGAGTAAGTGTCTTACTCCTCGACAATCAAGACAAGCCAACGCGAAGAATGTTGTGGAGGGGTTCTTGGCGTTTGCGTTAGCCGCCACCCCGCATGCAAGGGATGCTATTTAAGCCAATAAGCCTGTCTGCATAAGCATGAAATGTCAAGGCAGTCGCTAGTACAGATCAAATCAATGACACTGGATGCTTCAGAGGCTCAATTTTCTCTCTGTGGCCTGCCCGGAGTGATAAGGTTTACCAATATCCTTTATAGTCTCACTCGAATAGATGCTTTAGCGATTCCATTTCCTTCAGTTATCACCACATTGATACGCTATCTACTTATGAATGGTTCACACCGATATTACTTCTATTGAATGATCACTGTACAGACCCCTCAGCTCTGCCATATGACAACCTCCGGGTATACAACATTAAAGCGCTATAGAACCGAAACAGCCTTTCCAGGTGTCAGCCAGCACACCTTATCAATGATACCCTCGTCCTCAAAGTCCTTCCGAAGCTCCTTTCCAAACTGCGTAAAGTGGCCCCAGGACTCGTAGTGCATGGGAACCAAAACATCAGCCTTGATCTCGCGGAACAACCGCGCCGCCGATTTGCCGTCCATGGTGATCTGGCAGACGCCTTTGCTGGGGTCGGTCTTGTCCTTGGGTCCGTAGGCGTTGCCCAAGTTCATGATGGCAGCGAGGACATGGTACTGCTCTCCGATTTTCTTCAGGTCATCGATGTACACGGTGTCACCCGAGAACCAGATCGCATTGGGAAGACCGTCGCGACCGCGTCCGAATTCCTCGCTGGTAATGATAAAACCAGTGCATTCGTCTCCGGGGAGGTGCTGGGTTGGTGTGCCGATTATTTGGAACTTCTTTCCAGCGATGACTGTGTCGATCTTCTCCCAGGGCTTGAGACCGTGGACGCCGGGGCGGGGAGAAAGGTTCTTAGCTCCGTCGACGGTGGTGAAGACGCGGCGTCCGTCTAGCAGACGGCGACCCAGCTCATCGAGGTTGTCAATGTGGTCTTCGTGGCTTAGGAGCACGGCATCGATGACGGGGAGTTGATCGAGACGGAGAGCAGGATCGTCGCTCACCTGCAGCTTCATCGTCTCTGTGACGGGCCAAGAGGAGCCGGCAGGAGAGAAGAAGGGATCAGTGAGCATGTTGACCCCGTCGAGGTCGAGGATGGCAGTAGCCGTGCCAATGTGGGTGACGTTGAGTTTGGGAGACATTGTCAAGGAGTAATAGAGATTGGATTGTTAAAAAATATCAAAGGATATCAAAGGAAAAGTGATGGTTATGATAGATTAGTGTTTTGCTGGCATTGAGGGATTCCAAAGTATATTTATACCCATGCCGAGTGAGAGGTCTATCCAACAGTAGCCAGAATTGAATTATTCATTCTGACAAATAAGCCAACAAATTTGGTCGGCATAGAAAGGCACGGAATACCTATCTGAAGATGGCGTAGTAATGCTTAGAAACTCATGAGGGAGTCCTTCACGACTATCGGCTGAGGATCATGATGGTGCATCTCCTAAAAGGGATAGAATATTCGCCAAGAACAGCGGAACGAAGGTTCGGAAAAGCTTCGGCTCCACCGTGACTTTTCACGATGTAGATAGATTGGCAAATATGGTTTAACCCATCTTATATACTTAGTCATGGCAATTGATGGCTTACCAAGCCAACTAACTACAGTCATTCTCAAAATCGCCTTGACCAAAACACACTAAGAGGTCTCCGAGTAACTTGATAATATGCTGGGAGACCATTCTCCTACTCCTCCTATGCGGCGTGTGCTGGTCATCGCTCGTGAGGGTGGCTCCTTAGCTCAGAGAACCTCAACGAGTGATATCATCGGCAAACGATCGTCCTGGCCAGTTGTCGGTTGTTTGCAGGCGAACAACACCCTGAACGGCTCCTGACGGCATAAGCCTCAACTAATAATCACTCACCCTAGTCTGTCGTTACAGTAGACCAATAAAGACTGAGGCCTAGTGCCTTGCTAGCCATGATGATTACGGCGTTCAACGAAGCGTGGCGCTTGACACGTGGAGGGATATATCACAATATGCATCAACACCGGGCAACTTCCGCCTCCCCGTCCGGCATAAGCTGCACCAACGTCGATCCCTTATCCTCGATGGATTACGCCTCTCCGAAACAAGCTACTTCGCAAAAGAATAGTCTTCCATTACTCCAGTTCGGTGATTGCGAGGAAGGTCGAACATATGACGAGAACCCACCAGCCTGTATCCACTACTTGATTGAGTGGAAGGTTATCTTCAATAATAGGATGGTGGCGAAGAATAAAGAACAAGATATAGTTCTAGCCCCTTGGTTTCACTAGAGCCTCTTTCTGCAACTAAAGCTAAAGGAGCTATTTGTACGAAAGTATCCACACCGGAAACTCGAGTCGGATGACACGTCTGTTGCCGTATTCGCCACTCGGCAGAAGGGCCTCACTCATGCATGCAAAGTACGACGGGAATAAGGAGGAATAAATATCCTCTATTGATTAGAAAAATCCAATATGTCACCCATCAATCGCCCAAATAGGATTTGAACAGTACGTAAGACTCTTGACCTCTGATTGTCTGATCTATCATATAAATCACATGGTATCAATTCCTCGCCAATCCTGGACGATCCTAGAACGCTATCTATATCGACATTCCTAGTCTGCTAGATCTTGCTCAAGTGTTATTACTTCAATGTCCAACTGTGCAATGTTGACCTGTAAAATGACCCATGGGGCGTATAACGGAATACTACTCGTCAGGGCAGTGGCTTGTCGATCAGGCAAAGAAGAGATGGTAAAATAACCACGAAGATGAAAGATTGAATTGAATGATCGTTTAATCCGTCGTGATAATGAATCTCTTCTTGGAAAGTGGGAAGAGCCTTTAGTTCTCATAAATACAGTGAGTGATAATGATATGGCCTCTGTAATGCTCCGTGGATGGCTTTTCCTCCGTCAACCATCCGGATCTGTGTACTCCTTAAAACCAAGGCTCGGCTTAAGTGAATATTCCTGACCGATGGGGCTTCTTTTCCGCACGAGATTTATTTTGTCTTTATTGCGGTCGTTGACTTTGAGTTCAGTGGCCGAGCTAGACGTCTGGGCCGTGACCTTGTCCTCGCGTAAGCGGCGGGTATGAGAGAAGAGCTCCTCTTGGAGTTCTTCGGTAACCCATTTTTTAATGATTATATAGTTGCTGTCGTCCTAAAGGTGAGTGTAGTTAGTCTCGCTGAAACGTTGCAAGGTTGGGCCGTCAAAATGTAATGGTGCTTGGGTGAGGTGAGGCTTACCTCGTCCCAGTCCCATGGGAGGTGGTAGACCATCAAGGTCTCGGGGAGCAGGTACTTGCGATGAACCTGCAATCAACAGTCGTCAGGATTTCACCCGTAGATGATGGGACATCGAGGGTGCTTACCTTGATCCAAGTAGGTTTTTTAGTCTCGTCGGGGTGGTCCTGCTCCTCTTCGGGCTTCTTCCCCTCCTCCGTCTCGCTCTTAACTGTCTTCTTAATTATGGCCTCAATCTCCTCTTCACTACATCCAAGTTCAGCTCGTAACCTCTCCCGGAATTCCTTGTCTAACTTTGCCGTCTCTTCCTTCTGTCTCTGTTGAACCCTCTCCCGCATATGCTTCCATTCCAGGACAGCTAGTTTCCTGAAACTCCTCTCGAAATTGCGACTGCGGGCCGACATGCCACCCTCAGAGAAGTCCGACTCCTCAGATTCGAAGTATGTTGCAAATGGTGTCCTCTCAGTCGGAGAGTCACTTGGGAAATTTTCGAATGAGGATGTGTGATCTTTGCCTTTATTCCGTGGTTCTCCTAGTGGATTTCCATCGCGATAGGAGGAATCAGAGAGTATTGTCGCTGCATTCTCCATATGGTTGCAATGCCCACGGGGTCGTCTTCTAGACTCGGAGTGTCGTAATCGGGTTAAACGATCGAAGGAATCTAGCTGAGGGCCAGAGCGATTGACGCTTATTCGTTCCATTTCCGAGTCACCACAATACTCACAATCCAGACATTGAACAAAGATTTCAGGGTTCGATCTCATAGAAGTTCTCGGTATATGTTCTTCGATACGACGTAGTTTGACTTCGAGCAATTCCGCTTGCCTATCACGACCCATATCTTTCAGCAATTGTGCCGATACTTTGATCCTCATCCAAGAAAGCAGCGGAATATCAAAGAAAGTAATGTTAAGTCTTCTCCTTTCTTCTAGATCGTAGTCGAAGCGTGAAGGAAAATCGTTGGAAAAGTCACAAAGTTGGCGGTAAAGATCTCTGCGCTTGTCATCAACGCTAGCGGTGTTTGAAAATTCAAGCAGCAAGTATTCATCAATTAAACAATTAAGGAAACCTGCTGTATCTTGCATTGAACGCTGACAAAGCACAGATAGATCGATCAACCTCTGAAGCATTTTGCTAAAGTCTCCAGATTCGCGAAGAAGAGTCCAAAGAACGGACTGTTGCAAGTGATAGTCTCCTAGTCCTTTGGCAGTCAAAGCCACAATCTCAAGGGTATTCTCCATGGCGGCATTTAGGAAGGATTTCGTATCAGTTGATCCATTCACGGAGTCCTTGGTAGTCTCTCGGGACTGTATTCGGGCAACCCTTCTGAACTGATTGCTAGTAGGCTGGAGATAATTACCCTTGCATAGTCCCTTTGTAGTCTCTAGCAACAGCCAGTTCAAGTATGGTCGACTGTTCACCAAAGGAGGATGCCTTGAAAGTATAGAAAGTGCAAGAGAGTGCGCCTCCTTAGTGAGCTGGCGTTGAATCCCAATACATGCAGAACGGCCTGTTGGAACGTCAAAAAAGCTTGCAAGAAGCGATGCGTTGGCAAGATGTGTCAACGCAAGTTGTTCGTCATCTAAAGACGCTTGCGCTCCCGAAAACATATCTCTCACCCCAGATAATGTGTCGAGTTGAGCAAAATGTTCAAAATGGCCATTGTCCAAATAATGACCTTCTTCATCCGCGAAGAATGGTAAGATAGACCGTAGCAGCCTGTGTGAGTCCCAATAAAAGCCATTTTGTACCACGAAGCGATACCAATCACCCAGTGGAGGATACGCTCCCGAGTATATGCCATGAGCTTCAAACGACAATGGCAGCGGACCACAGCTTTCGCTCTGCGGGAAAATGAATTTATCTTTATCAAATCCCCACATCGCGAGAGGTTTGAAAGACTTTTTCCACAAGAAGCACGAGTGGGCACCCGCATATGCTATAATACGCAAGCAAATCTCCACTGTCTGAATCTGATAAAGGGTAAGCCGAGCCAATCACTGACTGTCAAAACCTTGGGCACCCACCTGGAGCCCGGTGGAATGTTTGTACCACAACGGATCATCATCTGACTTAGTTTCCAGATACCTTAACATCTCCATTGTGCTCTCTAGGGCTGGTATCAAGGCGCCTTTCGTGTAGAGCTCCGCAAGCGATTTGAGAAGTTTCCACAGTTGCATCTCATCGCGAGAATACTGCACCAGAGAGTCTTTAAGCCGACTAGAGACGAATTCATGAAGATCTCCGAAGCTTCCTTGCTCTAAGAGCAGATCCGCATACTCAGATGCCACCGGGAAGAAGTCTATATGAGGTGCCAGCCGTTCTTCAAATAATGAGATTGCCTCGTTGAAATATCCCAAGCGGTTGAGTCGGACCAAGCGCTGCAGATCTGGGCGGATATCCAGGGCCGCATCGAGGTTCAAATGAACGGTGATATCGTTGTCATGATCGCCCAAACGAAGAGTCCTGTCAGGGGATTCAGGAGACAAGGACCTGTTCATCTTTCCGTGTCTGCTTTTAGTGCTGTCATCTAATAGATCTTCATAGTATTTGCTGGCAACCGAACCGAGGAGAGGGGGAAGCGTGAAGGGGAGAAGGGAAGATGGATGGGAGTGAGAGCCACCGACTTCTATTGGGGGTCAGGTGAAAGTATTTCATCACGCTTGGAAAGGATTCATTAGTTTTTAGTTCGTCTGGATCCTGCAAATACCCCGACTCTTCATAATCTGCGTATTCATGGCTTCCATCCGAAGGTGAGCTGACTTGAACAATATAGGAAGAAAATTATCCTGGTCGAAGTTTCATCCATACGAGGTCTCCTAACTCAATTATTATTGTCAAAGCGATGATTTTTTGGCTTCGGCAGCGTTGGAAGAATTTAACCGAGGCGATGAGAGGTACAGCCCAATTATGCAGTGCCAACGCATCGACATTCGGAGTGCAGCCACAAATGCATCCATTTCAAGTGCTGACATAAGACTACAAGCATTTGAAGCAAGAAAAAAGCGATATGCTCGCTGATAATTTGGAGAATTTCAGTAACCCTCTTCCTCGTCCCTTTAGTCGTTGAGCCATCATTATGCCGTTATTACCGCTCAAACACTCGAGCAAGCCGTCCAAATTCGTGGAAATATGTGACACTCAGTCTAGTGCGAGTCTCTGCAATCTCAGATTTGAAAGAGCTCAGGTCGACTGTTGTTTTCTCATGTCCAAGTCGAAATGGGGTCAGCTGAATGGCAAAGACTCCGGTGTGATGTATTTGGATCTGACATTTCACCAACCCGCCGACTACAAGCTCGCACAGGCCACTGTAACTATGGATTTCTCCGAGATCCAAGCTTCCGACTTACCATCCAACCCAAAGAGCAAGGAGCTTGAAGTGACAGAGTTTTACGGGCCCCGAATACTAAGTGGAGAAAGAAGGGAACGTCAAGTATCTACTTCATTTGACGTCGACCCGAAGATTGGGATCCCAAACGCGTCAGTAGAAGGAATTAACTGGTCAAGAAAATCCGACATAACTTACGCATCCCGGTGGACATTTACTGGATCGCGGTTTGCGGCGGGGTCAACTGGCACTAGTGACATTCAAGAGAGTCGCTACCGACAAATTGTGTGGCACTTGCATGAAAATAAACTGGAAAGCCAAGTGGTCCACCACTCGACTGTCCACTCTGCACTCGCATTCCATCACGGAATGGAGCCCTTCTACGTTGACCTTAAAATCGAGCTCAAAATGCATCGTCTGCACCAACGAATCAAACAGCACTTGGTATATCTGCCTCGAAATCGCAGGTCGTGCACAAGGACTAAAGTACAACCACGCCCTGCAACATTAGATAAGAATCTACAATTCGAACAATTGGTCAAAGAACTAGATTATACCATGACTACGGCAAATTTACATCCCGTTACTGGTAGGTTCTCGGTCTCTGTCGCTGAAGAACATTCGCCCGCTAATCATGTTGTGCAGAGGTGTCAGATCCTAAACCAATGTCGACCAACGATGTTAATGAAGATACAGCAGCTTATCCCGAATCCGGTGCGAATCCTCTCCGCGATGGGTCTCTCCTAGCGGCGATACACCAAGTTACTGGCCAGGCGCCACCAACTCCCATGCCAAAGAGCACCGCCAGCTCGGTAATGTCGACGCATACAGGGAGCTCAGACGCTACTCTAGTAGATCCTGATGTCTTAAAGCACGCTGGCAGAATGACCAAGCCCGAGGATTCGACCGCTCACATCAAGCAAGCGCACTTAGCAACTACTCCATATGATGATATTCCGCAAGTTGTTATCGTGGCTTTTTGTCGAATTATCCAGCTTCTCGCAATGCCATTTAGATTATTCATCGCAGGCGTGGATGCATTAAATTCCGCTCTTGCTCAAGCGGGGAAGTGACTTTCAACCGCAGTTAGATTGATGGAATGCTGGAAACAACTAATACATGTGGCACTCCTATCCTCACCAAGTGTCTTTATTATCAAGTTTGAATGTACTTCGAGTAAACGAGAATTCACGATGGCAACCGTCCGTGAGTGATTGTCAAGCTCTTGGCAGGCGACCGCTCGAACACAAGTCACGGCAAAGCTTATCCCGAAGTAAAACATTGTAGGGTCACTATTCTTTAGTGCACAATATTATTTTCTGTACTCGTCTCCCAGATCTTTTCCACCAAAATTTTCGGTTTTGTCAACAACGCCATCCAATAAGTTTCATATACATATTTATGCATCATCAATGCCACGCGATACTAACTGGTCACGGTGAGTGGTTAAAATAGTTGGTCAAATTCCCAAATTGTAATAGGAGACAACCAGTAATTAGTTAGACAGCAATCTAAAGGGACGTTGAGGTTCTATATTGATATGACCGCTAGCTGGGAAGGAGAAGAGAAATAMTGCTACTTGCTGCTTTCAAAGATGTTCTCAATTCAATATCTCTATCAGGCTGTCCTTCCTGATATTGCTTAACTCCATCCCTGATGTCTGAGACAAACCGGTGGGCAACCTAGAGTTCCATGTTCGTGGCTGCGGTGCATACATCACGAGGATACTAATATTAACAGGAGACAAATTGGGCTAGCTGTAGAACTGAATAGGTCCTTTTCCGCTCGTTGTGTTCAAATAATGTGCGAAGCCTCCAGCATGTATGCGAAAGATCGACAATTTGTGTGTGGCTTGGCAAGGAAAGTTGAAGTCACCTCGCAGATCATCCAGGAACTCGGCGCGAGGCGGTTCTCTCCACATAGATTTGCAGAGATCCACTATAGGCTCCACGAAATTTCACGGACTTTTCGTACGTATCATGTAATTTTACATAGCTAGGTACTATAACATACGCAGTACAATGGCATTTTACTGCGCTCCTCAAATTAACGAGGCCCGCTCAATAATGGATCTGCCGCTAAGGCCTTGGCGGTGGGTCCAGCAAACAGTTAGCAAGTGTGTATTGGTCAAGCCGATTTCGAGAATCACTGTACGAGCTTTGTCCTTGACCTGATGGCCCGAGCCGATGTCCATGTTTGGGATAAATTAAGCCTATTTGACAAAATAGATAGAGTTGCGCACGCATGAGTCTGGTTTATCTAACCGCAGCTCCGTCTTCAGTGGGACTTATGCATGATCCTGCCAAAGCTCATGGAAGAACCGAGAAGGTTGCCCGCAGAAAGCGACCTCTGCGGCGCATCTACTTGTATCGTGGCCAAACACCTGACAATCCCTCCCAGCCCTACCGTCACGATCCAAGTCGGGTCCGCCGTTGGGTATCTGCCAACAAGACGGTGTGTCGGCTATTTAGATGTTCGAAATGTAGAGTTTTCGGTTAGAAGGTAGTGATAACTAGTATATCCATACATTCTCGCCTATTCAAGCTGCCTATTGGTCTCTTTGTCTCAATCTATGGCCATCATATCGCAGTAAACAAAGAAGCATAGAAACATCCGCTGCACATTAACATCAATGCTTTTCTAGCCGACACAAATCGTTGATATCTTCCACTGACAATTCTGTCAATTCCTCCTTGCTTGTGTCCCCGATCATGTTCATGCTTTCCTCCGTCTGGTTGTATTTGCGGAAGCAAAAAAAGAACACGATAGCTGTGGCAAACATGGTTACGCTGAGAGAGGCATACTCCACCAGCACTTTTGGCTCAACCGATACAGGCGACAGGGTGATTCCCACAGTTGAACCGATCGTGCAGGTAAGAAGAAAAAGAGCGGAGACGATACTCCGCATTGACCTTGGGGCTTTGGTGTAGGCATATTCCATCCCGGACGGACTGGCGAAGAACTGGGGGAGCCCTATGAGCGAGTAGACTGGGATCTGGAGGAGGATGCTAACATGAGACGGCGGTGATTGATATATTACTGCTTTGTGGATAGAAAATCGTTCGAGGATTTGAGGCGAGACATACATTGTTGGATGACAGCAGCGATGGCAGTAGCGAAGGCTATGGCGACGAAGCCGGTAGTCATGCGACTTATGGGTTTGAAGGGGATATGGAACCGTCGGAGGGCAGGGTTGATGAGGCGTTCGCTGTTCTGTCAGTATTGCATGGATTCCGAATCGAGTTGAAGCAACATACAATAGAGGAACCGCAATCAGAATAGTGAGGGGATTGAATAGTCCGACTATAAAGGTTAGAAATCGCTCGAATAACAAGCTGGATGAGAACGTACTCATATCATGCGGTATCCGGTATGTCTTGAGAGACGACGCCTGACTGACGAGGTTGTTGTTGGCCTGGCCATTGCATAACCAGAAAATGGGGCTAGAAAGTCAGCATTATCGGATGAGTCGAGGGGGTGTGAACGTACTATAGGAGACTGGCATAACGTTAGTAATGGTAGGAGGTGGTAGGGCTCGACTGAACTTACAACACCCGGCAGGCAACAAGTGCTCGTTTCAACTCATCCACAAACGTGTCGTCCCAGCATACAGCTACACCACTGGCCTCCATCGCAAACGGCCTTGCTGCGTCTATATTGCCATTGTTCTTCAGGCTAATCCATAGGACGCGAACGGCTTTGGTAACGGCCGAGCCATGCGGTTGCTTGATCACTACCATGATTTAGTCCTTTTCTTCAAGGGAAATGGGACCTTCACCTACCATATTTCTTGAGGGCAACTACTAGGGCGACAATGGCCAATAGCCACAGACACAGCGGCATCATAAAAGCTGCCCAGAAGTCCACCTTGAGCTCCAGCCACTACTAACGTTAGCAATGACCTGACACCGCGGGAGACGGACGAACTGAAGCGGGAATGATCGAGAGAGCGCCAATATTTATGATCCTTGAAGTATATCAGTATCTGACACGCCTTTATATTACTGGAGACCCACCTGTAGTATCGCGCATAGACCGTCTGAACTGTTACATTGGGATCGACAATGACCTTCTCTCCACTCTGCAGTGACTTTACTCGTTCTGTGCGCATAGAGTGCTGTTCAGCAATCAAGGGGCCGACATTGCTTTTGATACCACCGCATCTGATTCATTAGCATACGTAGTACTTGTCAAAGTTCCATTGCAAGACATACCCCAGTCCAATCAATACTAATGCAAGCATTAGACCTGGTAAACCTCCTCCATGCTCGAGACTTGGAGATAGCGACGTGATGAACAAAACCAGGACACCGCACACGGAAAGTCTATTGCATGTTAGGGTGTTCGAGAAGTGAGAACTAGAAGGGAATGTACCCCGCCCCAAGGAAAATGGTCTTGAATCGACCTAGGTAGCTGTCTGCAACAACAGCCCCGAAAATCGGCGCCAGGTAGCACCATCCCACAAAGAAGTAACTAATCCCAGTTGCTACCTTTTGGCCATGCTTCTGTCAGCTTATTTGCAGAGAGGGGACGAGGCTATCATGTGTACCAATCCCAGGGCACCGTGGTGAAGTACATCATCACGACCATGCTGTATGTAATTTTCTGTGCCTGTCAGAAATATTCTCGCCGAGAGCACAGATGATAGAACTCACGAATTGGCGCTGTGATGGAACGATACGTAAAGCGCTCAGCCAACTCCACTGCAGCCACAAGGAAAATGTCCAGCGAAATGTCATCGCAAACGCGCCGACGATTTCTCTTCTCTGGCTCTGGTACCTCCACATGCTTGCATTAAAATGGATCGGCTGGCTTTATGGTGCAAGACAAGGCCATTGTTTCATATAATTAGCCACCAACTTCATACATCCATGACAACCTGTCAAGAAGTCCACTTTGCGGACATATGCCCAATGCAGTCCAGCCATATGCTCGATATATATAGTCGATGAGATCTACGTGAAACAGTGCCATGATGGCTTTTGGAGATCTACTTGGCCCGAGGAATGGATTCGCAATCGATGGACGATCTGAGTGCAAGGACATGTCTTACAATACAATGAATCTCCATTTGTCGACTTTGAGTCCATGCCTTGATTGAACCGTAGATCTTCTGTTACTCTACACGTAAGTACTCTACTATGACGACGGGAGAGAGACTGTATAGAATCATCGCCTCATGTTGTGCCTTTCAAGGTAGTGAGAACCTTATTGTCAAGATAGAACCCTTGCAATCATCCACCGGGATTCTTGCCGCGTATTGTCGATGTCCATCAGTCCACTACTGTAAGCTGCGAATCCAGTGCACTGATAGAGGCAAGTCATTCTGCGAGTTGATTGTTTCGTGTAGACAATATATGACGTCAAAGCATTCAATAATAAACAAGAGGACGGGGTTCCACCTTCAATTCTAGTGAGGAATGTGGACTGGGCAAGGGGTGTTTGGAATATCCACGTTTTACAAATCCCGAATGATATTATCATGAGAGCGCTTCACACTCAATCTGAGATGCTCACATGTACCATCAGTGTCAGCCATCTTGATCAAACTTAAAAGTGTCCAAAAGAGGCCTCAGTTCTCAGGATGCTTCTGCCGAAAAGAATGCTGGAGTGATATCAAGTCACACTTCGACGCCATCAGGAGCGGGTGAGAAGCTTAGCCCAGCCACGAACTCTATCTAGAGACAGAATAATGATGACTGTAAGGAAAAAATATTAGCTCCAGGAACATTGGAATCTCCATTCTCTGTTTCAAAAGCGTGAGTTTCTAGCGTGGCCATGGCAAGCTTACGCGGCGTTATACAGGCCTATAAACAACAACGATATAGAAGGTCAGATGCCACTACTTTGGAGACAAATGATGAAAGTTCCGCGTCAGTGGCTTCCTGATGGCTAGTAGCAATTGAATCTCGTTGAAGAATTGAAGGCAGTCTCCCACCATCTCTCGGTTTCAGACCTCGAGATATCCGTTCCACTTCACAAAGATAGGGGCAAGGACATCCACACTACATAGAGACCTGATGATTATACTCAAGTGATCCAAATGCGATATTCCCGGTTTAAGGTTTCTAGCTGGTTGGCTCATTAAGCCGGAGATCATTGCAGGTGCAAATGTTCTAGGCTATTGAACCCTTCCGCATTGTTAGTGCATTCCTCAAGTGCAGCCAAGCCGATGATTATGCAGGAGCGGCACGACCTGGCCTTTTTGGGAACTCTTCTAGCTCACACCCAAGCGTTTTTCGATCTTGAGCTTGCTTCATACAAGGGTAGTAATCTTGTCTGTTCAAGCTGGAGCACCAGCACCTCATACAGCACCTCATACAGGACTCTTAGCACCGCTTGATCCATCATTGTAGTAGTGTTTAGAGTGAGAGAGCCACTGGTCACCACTGAGAATCTTTCTTGTTCACAGCTTGGCCTTATTTGGTCCATTTACCACATTCTTACCAGCTGTTGTAGATTAAGACAGGCATCCGGCCACACTTTAGCAACGTCACCTCGTTCATACAGCAGTTTCCTGGCCATTACAGACCTACTCATACCATTTGTTCTTCGTTGTCATGAGAATCGAGATTAGGTACAAAACGACAAAGCCCACAGCCTGCTCTGCGTAGCTCTGTTGAGCGTTGAAAGTCGTTTCCGGCTCACGCTTAAGTTCTGACGGGTCTCAACTCCAGATGACTGTCTTCTATAGTTGACGAGACCATCTTCATCGTCTAAAACCTGAAGTAACTCCTAACATATCTTTTCTATTCCAAGTGATTGTTTGGCTGGGAGAGTTGCACCAATGGTTGGAGAAGATCACTCCACACTGGCAACTGGGTATACGGTCAATTTGATGTCACTGGGTACGACATGAAAGATTCACCCCACAAGACAAGACAAAAGACAATCTTCTTAGTCGATGACGACTCGGGTCGCACGGAGATGGATGAATAACCTTGTCCCAACCTGGTGGGCGGGGATGACACCATGACTCTCTTCGTGCGGGGCCGAGTTTATTTACATCGACAAAGAAACCTCATCTCGGCGCGTTCCTCCTGCCAAAAGAGTTGCAGAGCCTTCATCCGATATATAACTATTTTCAGCTCCATATGAAAGGAATATCGTCCAAAGGTCTGAAGAGACTCTATATTATCGCGCTTACGTATTTGCCAATTGCTGACGGCGTAATTAAGACAGACCATAGAGCATCCAGATTGTCCCCGATTGACTTCACAGGAGCCAAGGTCGGCTCTCACGGATCCAAGGAACCTCTATTGATATGATGGCATGACCCCGGATTCTCAGTATCTTCTCAAGCTAGCTTGCATTTCGAACTGCCATGATGTCAGGATTGCAAGCATCCCGGCCTCTTTCATGCAGCGATATAACATTAGCCTGTCCGGTTGGTTCGCCTTACAGCAACACCTGCATGTCTGATGTGAAACGATTCTTTCCAGCACCATTGTACTATACCTTTTACAACATATCATAATATGGTTCCGATACGAGCCAGAGCGCACAATGCTCGAGGACGCTCTGGTCAGCTCTCCGTGCTCCGGGAAATGGTCCAAACCGTTTCCCGGGAGTGCGAACCACGCTTGGGCATGTCTGCCAGTGCTATCCAAGAAAAAGCCCAGACTATCGATGCTTTCTTTGACGCGATCGCTGCGGAGCGCCTGAGACACATGCCGGCGGACGGAAGCCGGCTCGACGGCGCTCTTCGACGCGCATCCAGCCTGGCCTATGCCGTGGCCTCGTTACGCGATGCTGTTGTTTCTTTCATGGACGGCGCGGAGGAAGCCACTAAATTGGTCTGGGGTGGCCTTCTACTGCTCCTAGAGGTGAGACACATCCAGGTCTTTCGGACTAGTAGCTAACGATTGCAGATGGGAATCGAGCATGTGGACATCCTGGACAGCATTTTCGGTCGGTATGGACGTGTTACTCTTCAGATTTCTCTCTTGCTACAGCAGGAGAGCTCCTTTAAAGAGTCCACTTCATTGCAGGACGAGGTGGCCAAGGCTTACGCCAGTTTGCTGAAGCTTGTGCTACACGTTACCATGGAGTACTCTAACGCGTCACGGTCTTTGGACTGGCTGATGATGGGCGAACACGTCGATCAAGCCTTTTTCGAGTTTCACAACAGTTTCAACTCAAATTGGCGGAAACTGTCAGAGCTGGCCTTATCCAAGAGGACGACCACGGATGTTGCTGCTGTCTATCAGTTCCTCGATCTGCAGGATCGTCCACTCCAGATGGTTCTCGAAGGACACAATCAATCCCTGGCGGAAGGCTCTTTTGCGTGGTTTGACCCGCATCTCACGACTTTCACTCTCAGCAACCGTGAGATGATGGTAATAACAGGCAGTCCAGGGGCAGGAAAAACTGCGCTGGCACAATGGACGGTTGAGCGGCTGCAGGTCTCCTCCGAGTATGACATCTGGAACGTCATTCCCTGCTGGGTCCGAGAGGATGTGCCTATCACAACGTTGACCCTTACCATTCTCAAAGGCATTCTCCATCAAATGCTGGACCGATGTGTCAGCTCATGGAAGACCCAAGAGCGTATTCTAACATCGGTTCGAGAGGCTGCACGCATGGCTTCCACTGGTGCTACAGACGCTCAGGTGGAGGACGTGCTCTGGTCCGCTGTGAGAACGGCAATGCAGTCACACATGCACTTCATGATTGTCCTGGACGGCCTCGATCAGATCAAAAATGCCAAAACCACCATGGCTGGATTCCTTGCGCGCCTACAAAATTCTATCTCCGGCACATCGTCGAAGCTTATCATCTTTTCCAGAGAACTTCCAGCGCAGCAGCAACTTGGGAAAAACACTCAACAACACTCGCTAACTCCCGCATTGACTCACACCGACTTGCTCGCGGCTGTCACCGACGCCATCAAGTCAGACGGCCAATTCTACGGACTGGCGGAGGATCAGATAGACGCGATGGCCCATCGCATCGTGGCCCGCGCTCAAGGATGCTTCGTTTGGGCACAGCTCACCATCGAATCTATGAAACAAGAGTCGACCTTCAAGGGCATGATGAGTGCAATCCAGCAAGCACCAGACGATGTTAACGAGCTTATTGGCAACCATCTAAACACCACAGACATCACCCGCCCTGACATCCGCTCTCTCCTTGCCTGGCTGGTGGCCTCCGAGCGTCCTCTGCGCATCAAGGAAGTAGAAGAGCTCCTCTCAGTGGACGCCGAGAGTCTCAAGATAACGCCGCGTCCAACCGGCGCCGAACGCAACATATTCAAGCCCTTGGGCCGTCTGGTCATGGTCCGCGACGGATTCGTGGCCTTCCGCCACTCCATAATCCGTGAGAACCTGCGGCAACGCGCCATGTCCGCTGACAGCAACTACTCGGACAATCAGGGGTTCCCGTTCAACCTCGAGGAGGCACATGACGATCTCCTCACGCGATCCCTGGCCTGGACCCGCCTTTGTGTCAAGGAAGAGGTGGCAATCTCCATGGACAAAATGCCAGGGCAGCAGCGCGACCTTCTCTTCGACTCGTATATCCTTCTGGAATACACTTCGCGCTACTGGTTCTCGCATCTGCTTTCGTCCCCGATGATCACCCCTGACCGTGAATTTGCTTTTACGCCGGTCTTCAAGAACGCCTTGCCCAGTTCTGTCCTTTTTGCGCAGATGGAGCTGACCAGTCGGGAGTCGCAGTTCAGTCGATCCAGCATCCTGGAGCTTTACCGGCTAGCGGTTGCGGTGCGTCGTGTGACGCTGGGCGAGAAGTCTCCGGCATTCTTGCAGAGTCTTATTCTCAGCGCTCGTGCAGCCGACTTGGCTAAGGCCAGCTGGGCTAACGATCATCTGTATGAAGCATGGACGCTCAGTCGGTCGCAGCTGGGGGCCTCCTCTCCAATCTCCATGGAGCTGGAACAGCTGATGCTGACCTCTCCTCAGCAGGGAGGCCCTGGCGACAAGACCGCAGGCATGCGCACCGAGGCCCTTCGCGAGATGACCTTGTCCCACTGGGAGTCGACAGAAATCACCTTTACCCGCCGCGTGGAGTACCTCACCACCTTGGTCACAACCTACCAAAGCAGCAATCAGACCGAGGAGGCGTACAGCGTCTCGAAACAGTTTTACCGGCAAACTCTGGACAAGTATGGTAGTCATTCGGCGGAGAGTATGCAAGCGGCAGATTTCCTCACCCAGAACTTCCAGATCGCTTCCTCCGACGATCTCGCGCTGGAGATTGCGCGGCTCAAATACGAGAATATGATCCGTTCGATGGACGTCACAGACCACCGCCGCATCTCCTACTCGTTTTACCTCGCTCAGCTGTATGAGGAAAAGCACAAGACTAAGGAGGCAGAATCGATCTTGAGAAGCCTCTGGGCCGGAATGTGCTCGCACGACATCGATTCCGAATGGACATGGGAGAAAAAGACAAAGGTCGCTTTTGTGTACTACCAATTCCTGCATCGTCACGGCCGCCACGAGGAGGCCAAGATGGTCCTTGGCGAGCTATCCTCAGATCTAGAATTAGGCGGCATCCACTCGCAGGCGATGGCGGATCGCGCCACAAGCCTTCGAGCGGAGGCGCGAGAGCAGGGCCTCATCGGAATGGAGCGGACCCTTTCCATGCTCATTTGGAACTACTACCTTGCAAGCGGAGACCAGTACTCGCCCGAGGCCGTCGCTCTGGCCGAGGAGCTCGCCGACGAGCTGATGGCCACCCATACGACGGTTGACAGTCTCGCGACCTTATCTCAAGAGGAGCGCCTCTACATCCACAGCCTTATGGGCAGCATTGCGTCGTCAGGCAGCGGTCGCCACTCCACGTCTGTTTTGACCTTGTGTCACAACCTCTGCACTCTGCATATCCGCGAGGGACAGTGGAAACAAGGCAGTGACTGCGCCTGGGCAGTCCTGAAGCATGTATGGCCGGATGTCCACGATCCTACCTCCGAGGCCAAGTTCCGGTCTGACCGCGCCCCGTTGATCGCTAATATCGTTCTGGACTATGCGTACTGTCTTTTCCGTCGCCTTGATGTTGCCAAAGCGACGACGGTCTACGGAAACGCGTTCAAGGCATCCATTACCGCGGAGAAAGTGACCGTGCAGCACCTCACCGCTGTTGTCAAGACCGTGATTGAATTTTATGAAACCACGTTCCAGTTCTCCAAGGCGCTGGTCCTCCTGCACCAGGTCAGCCAGTTCTTCATCTCTCGTCTGGGCGATTCCGACAAGCATACGATCGACAGCCTGTACTGCGAGGGTGACTTGGCCACTCGCCTGGACCGAAAGGACGAGGCCGAGGCTGCATATCGCCATATCTACCAGGTCAGCATCCAAGGGGGTATGGTCAGCCCGACCGGTGTTCGAGCAGCCATCGATCTCCTCGGTATCTATGAACAAAAGCAGGACCGCGAAAGCGCTCTACAGGTTTACCGTCATTTCTGGCCGACTCTTGTGCGTTTCGACGAAAGGGATGGTTACGACCGTGCGCTTCTGGAGGGTCTGCTAGACAAGACTTACAAGGGATACATGAGAACCTTAGCCGCCAGCACTGCGGAGGAAGGCCCCGCGGAACGCTACACCGTGGCGTCTCAGTACCTCCAGCTTTGCAAGAAGATTCATGGGCAATCGAGCCTAACGACTCGGGATGCGACTCTCCGTCTCGCGGAGATCTGCGAGAAAATGGATAGCCATCTGGAAGAGGCGCTTGCCCTTTACCGGCATGTCCTCAAGACGAAGGAGTGGGTGCCTCAATCGCAGGCCTCCCGGCCTTTGCCTGATATGACGGATCCAACGGCAATGGGTATCAAGCACAAGATCGCTCAGATTTATCTTCGCAAGAAGAGCACCTCCGACGAGGCTCGTGCTTTGTACATGGAGGAGCTTACCTTCTCCAAGCAGCAGCGAGGTCTATCTTCCTCCCCGACACTTTTGTGGCTGCGTGAAGTGGCTCTGGTCTATGCTTTGAAGGATACGATCGAGTCGCGCAACCAGGGTGCAAGCATTCTACGGGACCATGTCAACGAGGTCATCCGCGTCACTGCCAGTCGCGAAGCGCTGGTTGAGCGCGCTCACCGTCTCGCGGAGATCTATCTCGAATGCGGGTATAAGGATGCGGGTTACGACTTGATCGACGAGCTTCATAAGAAGGTCATTCATGAAACCCCGCGCGCACAACAAATGGCACTGAACGAGCACCGTCCTGCCGTCTTTGTTGCCGCGTTCKAGGAGGAGTTTGGCAAGAAGATGACTTACAGCCAGATTCTTGACGCCTTGTCTCAAGAATGCGGCGTGTACAATGAGTACCAGACGAGTCTTTCCAAGCACGACCTCGTCACCACTATCGTTACCGGCCAGAAACTCTCCGTCATGCAGACCGAGCAGAGACGCGTGACAGCAGCCACCAAAACGCAGGGCAGCTTGTACGAATACTTTTGCAACTCGCTGTCTGTTTCTCCCGAGTTGCGCTCCAAGGACGTGGTGCACCAGTTCTACAACTTATGTCGCCGCGAGATCGTCAAACCAAACTATAATATTAATATTATCACTGAGACAACCCACATGGTCCGCGACTTGTGCAACAGCTCGCGCTTCCAGGATGCTGCAGACTTGACTGGCGTGTTCCACTCTTTTGTGCATCTGACCGACGGGCTGGACAGCCACGAGGCAATCTTTACAGCCATCAAGCTCTGCCTGTATCTCAACGGTTACCAGACAAGCAAATGCTCGGACAGTGGCACCGCCAAGAACATGGCATTTGAGTCTCAGATGCTCCTTCAAGAGCTCATGGCCAGAGCTCGTCATCTGAAGATTGAGTTCTCTGAACTCCCATTCCCCGAATTGAACGATCTAGTTACAGTACTGGGTGAACACGAGATGTTTGAAGATCTAGAGGTAAACCCTGCCCCTACCCCGCTATATACATATGCTAATGCTATCCAGGGCATCCTCACCGACCTCTGGACCTCGCGGATCGTCCAGAAGACCTGGTCCCACAACATGATCGTCTGGATCGGCCGTCGGCTGGTGGAAACCCGCTTCTGCCGTGGGCACACCTCCGCCGCAGTGCAGCTGGCCAAAGACATCTGCTACAACCTGCGCCACGTTTGGGGCAACTACGACCCCATCACATTGGAGATGACCAAGCTGCTCTCGGGCCTGTACACGGCGACAGGCAACCACCTCGCGGCTGTGATGCTGCATGAGTCAGCGCTCCATGAGCTCCTGAACGACCCGGACGCGGACCAGGCGCATGCGGCGGACACCGTCAGCCAGCATCTGCAGCTTCTCAAGCATGCGCAGGCGCGGCTCAGCAAGGAGAGTGGGAAGGCTGTGGATACGAGCGCGTACGACGAGCTAGCGCATCAGGTTGCTACCAAGTTTGGAGTGAAGCTGGAGGGTCTGGAGGGGGTGGGGGAGGAGGACATGGGCATGTGGCACCGCCCAAGAAGGTTCAGTCTGGATGTGGAGGAAGACCAGACGCATTCGAACCGTCTGCGCACCAGCAGTGGCTCGCCGTTGCTGACTGGGAATGCAGGGGCTAAGCGGATTTCGATCACTGCGTTGTAGGCAAACAGGTGCTGCAATTTCTGTAATTTAATCACTCAGAATGTCTCTTCATCTCGATGAAAAGTGCTGGTATATAGTCGCAATTTACGCGTTAATGCAATCCTACATACTTTTCCGCGCTCAGGCAGTTTCTGGTCAGTCAACCGAATACGATTGATACTTCCACTAATAAATACTAATATCCTTCTAATATAGTTATCTTAACCTTTAGTTTCTTCCTCCTGGAGACTGAAGCAACTTTAATATCTGACTAGGCTAATTATGCTAATATTCCTAGACCTCTTAAGGCAGTGGTGAAAGAATTTGCTAATTAGTATCTATTATAGGTGAATAGTAACAGCTTTAAGAATAATATTAAGAAAGTGTATGATATAGCATTGGAGGATTATCTTAACCTTTGACAAATTTATGTGGAAAACCTGGACTTCTTCATTAAGCAGGGTGTAAAAATTGGCATTGTACATTGACTTATTAGCCATACGAGACCTGGCTTAAGGAGAGAGAGAGCGGTTCTGGTTAAAGTATACTAAAATACTTTAATTAGGTACTGTATAGAAAGGTTGCCTTCACTGGCATGCATATTACTGCGCAGAGCTGATTCAGAATGCCACCAATCTTTCAATAAAGTAGAAGAAATGTGATGTTATCTTATGCCTTCCAAACCTATGTTCCGAGATCTGTCTGTCCTGTTCTCTACTAATCGCTCCTTCTAGGGATAAACGTAGACCATGGGAATCCAGGACCATTTGGGCTCTCGATCAGGTGTGGGAATTCTGTCCAGATCATGGGCTCCGTCGTCCTTAGTGGCTCAAAAGGTCAACACCGAGGGGTAAAGGAAACCACTTAAAGCGGAGATAACCGTTTAGGCCAATCAAGCACTTTTGCGCGACAGGGGCAGAAATAGTGCCATTAGACTAACAGGTCCACAATGTCTGCCTTGAGAGAGTTCATGAATAAATTGCTCGTGTCAGCAGCCACCTGCTGACTGTGTTCATCTGTTTGAGACCAACCTTGACCGTGACATTTTAGAATGGCGGAACGGAGCACGGTTCAAAAGGCCGTCGACGAGTACATTGCTACTCTTGAGGTTCCTCTACGAGAGCTTAATAAAAACGTACGACGGTGATCTTTGTGCTATGCTACAGTATTGCTAATCATTTGAGCAGATTCACGAGAATCCGGAACTAGCGTATGAAGAGCATCACGCTCACGACACCCTCTGCGCCTTTCTGGAATCCTTGAATATCCCAGTAACTCGCCATGCGTACGGGATCTCGACGGCATTCGAGGCTACAGTCGGTGGTCAAGGACGGTGTGTCAATTTCAACGCCGAATACGATGCTCTACCCGGGATCGGACATGCATGTGGCCATAATCTTATTGCCATAGCCAGCGTGACGGGCTTCCTGGCTCTGGCATATGCTATCAAGAAATTTGGCCTCCCTGGTCAAGCGCAGCTACTCGGCACTCCTGCAGAGGAAGATGGAGGAGGAAAGATTGATCTGATCACCGCCGGAGCTTACAAGAAGGTGGACTTGTCCCTAATGATGTAGGTTTGCCTCACCAGTATCCTGCAAGTAGCTAACGATAGCAGTCATCCCATGTCAGAGGACGAGTTTCTTGATCAGAAGGCCACGGGTATAGCTGGACGCTCATCCATCTCTCTGTACGATATAACCTGTACCTACGAAGGGGTGAGTGCTCATGCAGGAGTCAATCCCTGGGAAGGCGTCAATGCTCTGGACGCGATTGTGATGGCGTATAATGGTATCTCCATGCTGCGTCAGCAGATTCGCCCTGATGAGAGAATCCACGGCGCCATCGTTCAGGCTCCGAGCATTACGAACGCAATCCCCGAGCTGACAAAGACCAAGTATACCGTGCGCAGTCCGACTATCAAAGGGACCAAGCTGCTTGGTGAACGCGTGCGGCGATGCCTGGAGGCTGGTGCATTGGCGACGGGATGTAAAGTCAAGCTGGAGGAAAGCACTATCTACGCGGATCTTGTGGTCAACTCTTCTCTTTGTGAAGAGTTTGTACAGAAGATGGCCGATCAAGGGGACCGGATCCTGCAGATGGATAACGTTCCGATGGCGGGGTCCACTGATCAGGGCAACGTCTCCCATCTCGTCCCGGCACTTCATGGACTGATCGGCATTCCGGTCTCTGACGGGGCCAAAAATCATACACACGAGTTCACAGCCGCGGCGGGGACAGACACTGCGCATGCTCGAATTGTGAGGGCGGGGAAAGCCATGGCCATGACAGGGTGGAGATACCTGATAGATGACGACTTCTCCGGCAGAGTGACTCAGGATTTCGATAGGAGAACTGCCTTAAATTAACTCTAATAGAAAATTATAGCACCTACGCCACTCTGATAGCCTACTATCAGTTGACTTGGGGTTGCATTATAGAATGTCCAGTACTGTGAATCTGGAAAACTAGTGATAAGGGCTTTTAGAGACCTTTATAAACGAGGCTTAGCATATTTTATGTAAGGGCACCTGGAAGTATTAATATATATAAACATTTGCACTGGTATTGCAACCAGCTGTACATAATCTGTTCTATCTACTCAATACTCCAATCGGATTGAGGTCAAGGCCACCCTTGAACGTCATCGGCAGTACGAGGTCTGACTCTACCTGCGGACTTAACAACGCTACACCCGTAATCCGCCAATCTCCCACTACTAACTCCGCAGGCCGACAATGCTTGACGCATAAGTATTTAAATAGCAGAGATCCCTCTGATCACATCCATTCCACCGAATACCAACATTGTCAAGTCATATCCATCGAAATGGGCTTCTTCTACTCCCAATTATTCGTAACCCCGGAGTATCCCACCCACTGCTTCAAAGACCAAGCGGTCATCGTCACCGGCTCCAACGTCGGCCTGGGTCTCGAAGCAGCACGGCATTTTGTCCGGCTCAATGCCGCAACCGTGATCCTAGCCGTGCGCAACCGCTCCGCTGGCGAAGCCGCCAAAGCCTCAATACGCGAGTCCCATCCCGACTCCCCAACCTCCATCGAAGTATGGGACCTGGACCTCGCGTCCTACGCCTCCGTCCTCGCCTTCGCAGAGAAAGTCTCCCAACTACCACGACTTGACGTCCTCCTCTGCAACGCATCCATCGCTACACCAACCTTCCAGCTAGCAGAGGGCCACGAGCGAACCATCACCGTGAATGTGATCAACACGATCCTTCTGGGTCTGCTTGTCCTCCCGACACTTCGCAGAAGCGCAAAAAAGTACGGGACCAAGCCGCGCCTGACGACGGTCGTCAGCGAGGTGCATGAGTGGACAAAGTTCCCTGAGCGGACCGCGGAGAATACCTTTGCCGCGCTGGACGACGAGAAGCATACTAACATGCGGGAGCGGTACGCGACCTCGAAGTTATTGCAGGTGCTAATCCTCCGGGAGATAGTGGCGCGGATGCGGGATGACAGCGTCGTGGTGAATATGCTTAATCCTGGGCTGTGCCATTCGCAGCTGGGCCGCGACCTCGGGTTCAAGCTTGCGCTGATGAAGATTGTTATGGCCAGGACGACGGAGGTGGGGAGTCGGACGCTGCTCGCGGGCGCGGCGGCTGGGGAGGAGAGTCACGGGGCGTACATGACGGATGGGAAGGTGGATAATGGGGCGCTGTCTGATTTTGTGCGCAGTGAGGAGGGGAAGAAGGTGCAGGAGAAGGTTTGGGGGGAGCTGAGGGAGATCCTTGAGGGGATTAAGCCGGGTGTGACGGGCAACTTGTAATATATTGAAGAGTAGGATGACTTATGTGGCACTAATGATAATCACGTATTCTAAGACATGCATAGTAAGTTGAAGTATGAGCATGCATAGTGGCTCTGCCATCTGTTTCGCTATGCGGACATAGCGGACATACGCGGACATAGGCATGGTCATATGCTCAAAGATTGTTAATTGCACTTGTCAGTCTCAGTAAGGAATGTAATCTAAATTGTGATATAACAAGAAGTGATGCGACTCGCAGTAAGCCATCCTTGCTAATCCATTGGCCAAAGCAGGACTAGATTGCCGTAACATCAACCCAGAACCTGGTATCATCCTTCTGATACTTGGGATCACTCTCAATCTGCTTCTGGATCCACTGAACGGCACTTTTATACGCTGCTTCGATTAGCCCCGTACCTCCACCAGACCCAAGAAAAGAAACATACTATTGATATCATCCGTATGCGGATTCTGCAGCCCAGACGCTCCATTGCGATGACCAGCAAACCAGGTGTCAAAGCCATAGTGCTTCTCGCCATCATGGCGGGCCTTGACATCTTTCTTCAGGTCGTGGCTGCACGGATTAGCTCTACCCTAGCAATAACAGACAGGGACGTACTTCAAGACCGCTCCGTTGGCCACCTGCTCAGCAGATTGGCTCTGGAAATCCCTGGCAGATGTACGCAGCATCATCCAGTTCTGCTTGAAGATGCCAAAGTTGGTGGCGTCGCCGGATTTGCCGTCGCCGTAGACGTAGTCGGCTTTCATGTGGTCACTGGCTCGTCAGATCAGACTGTAAAGTATACGGGGGCAGCAGGGCATGTACCTCTCGAGCATGGCGATGGCCATGTCCATGGTGTTTCCGCCTGCCTTGAGCAGGGCTTGCTTGCGCTGTCCTAGGCCTGAGACGGTGTAGCTACCGCGGTTGTCACAGAGGGCGAGCTGGGCAAGGCCGAAAAGGCCGACGATGGTGGTGAACTTCATTTCGCTGGCAGTTAACCTTGCAAGTTTCAATCTTTCTTTGGTATGAGGTTTCCAGATATCGGGATATGATCAGTTTATATAGTCAAGAGGGTATTGCTCCAGGTCGCCCTATGCACCATCTACTATGATCCACAAGCCCCATACGTAGAGCAATCTTTGTATCATGCCATATCTTCTACTCGATCATTGATAGCTCATCCCGAGACCCATCGGTACGGCGTAGATGGCAGTAACACGACCCGATTTGTGAGTTACCGGCCCGTCGGATGGGGTCTAGGGGTACTCGTGCCGGACATTTCCCCTTTTGGCACGGGGAGTCCGTCTTGAAAATTTCATTAACAAGATATAAAGTAGATTGGGGGCGACAAAGTGGTATATGTGGATACGGCGGGAAGTGGACGTTTCAAGGTGCTACAATAAGGGCTTTAACCGCCCTCCAGCAGATTGTACTCCGTAATACATTTAGCTTAGCCGTTTTTTAGGCCGCCAGAATCTACGGGTATCTAGACTAATCGTGTAGCAATAAATGAGAAGACATGTGGAGAACGGATCTGGATAGGGTCCGAGACGGCAGAGTGAGACAGATGACAGCCTACAGCTCTATATCCAGACTGTGCGACTCTTTTCGGGATGTTTCCTCGTCTTCACTCTTTGCTTGACAATTCAACATTTGATCACCAGTGTCTTGATGACAGTTGCTGTGACTACTGTGTTGTGGCCCTGATATATATCGGCTCCCTGGCGTGATAATACCGGTCATATTATATATCTGCTGCACCATCTTTTCCATTAGTACTAGCTAAATGGTCGGGACACCGTTTCAGCTTAGTGCTTAGAGTGCATACATTAGATAACCTCACGATGCCCGTAATAGGCTACAACCTCGTATTCGCAATGTAACCTCAACAGGTTAGCTTCATGACACACAGTCAACCTGCTGCCTACATAAGCCTTTTGCCTTTCTTTCACTCTAATCTAACCACCAGACATCTATCTGATCAACAAAATGTCCACAGACAAATCCGCCCGCCACTACATTGAAGTCATCTCCACCCGCCCTCMGAAACCCATCGAAATAGTCGACTACGACCCCTCCTGGCCAACAGCCTTTGCATCCATCGCACAGCGCATCAAATCCGCCCTCGGCCCAAAAGCGCTTACTATCAGCCACGTCGGCTCAACCAGTGTCCCTGGCCTGCCTGCAAAAGCCGTCATCGACGTCGACCTCGTCGTCCCGGACCCCATCGCCGAGGACGACTACGTCCCTGCGCTGCAGGCCGCCGGGTTCCAGTTCCTCTTCCGCGAGCCGAACTGGTACGAGCATCGCTTCTTTGGGTTGGCGGAGCCGTATGCCAATGTGCATGTGTTTGGGCCGGGGGCGGCGGAGCTGAGTCGCCATCAGCGGTTTCGGGAGTGGCTGATTGCGCATCCGGAGGATCGGGAGTTGTACGTCAGGGCGAAGAGGGGGGCGGCGCAAGAGACTCGTGAGAACGGGGAGTCGGTCCAGGAGTATAACTTTCGGAAGGAGAGCGTTATCGAGGAGATTATGGTCCGCGCGGGGATTCCGCTGCCGGGAACTGATTAGACATCTCGACAGTTTGTCTGGCCGGTTTACGAGGGACATGCTATGCAGTTTGGAGCTGATGAGGCATTACCTTACCTCTCTGTTCTTGAATATCCCTCTACATGCTCTAGCTAATCTCTGCATGTCCCACCTCGTATGGCAGGCGGCTAAATCAACCCGTAGATAAATCCCAGCTGATCAACCTCATCCCCATCCTGTCCGTAGAAGCCTACAATCTGCCATCCCTGCGGAGCCGCAAACTCCTGGCAATCGGACGTCGCCGTTCCCGCACTCACCGTCCGTCCGGTGCTCGTCGTGGCTAACAGGTAAAAGTTGCGCGTGTGGCCGTTGTACTGCCCCTGGCATAGCTTCGCGTTGGTCCAGTACTCGTTCGCCGCGAGGGTGAGTTCCGAGAGGCTGCCTCCCGTGCCACCGTGGGTGTAGCTCGTGCCTGAACCCAAGGTGAGACCGACGCTATCGAGCCGCTCCGCACCGCGCAGGGAGATCTTGCTTGGCTTGTTCTGGCCGGCGGAGGCGCTGGGGAGGGAGTCGAGGTCGTTGAACCAGGTTCTACTTTATTAACTCGCGTCATTGGTTTATGGTAAATGCTGGCTTACCCATGTGGACCACCGAAGAGGTCACTCTGGCGGAAGGAACTGGACATGGTCCAGGTGAAGTTGGTCGTGATTGGGTTGTGATCGGACAGGATGGTCCCCTTGTCGCTGAGGAACTTGTTGCTCTCGTAGTTCCAGAAGATGGCCTTCAGATCAACGGTGCGGCTTCCCCGGTAGCTATTTCTGTCAGACTTGCAGTCACAAAGGCTCAGGCAACATACAAGACTTTATCAACAGTTTCACAGTTGTTGGTCGTGCTAGGATTCTGGCAGAGCAACACACTGCTACCCTGGGCGGGCTCGGCTCCCTTGAGAATCAGCTCAACCCACGGGTTGACCATGCTATTCTCCGTCTGGAAGACACGGATGTTCTCGCCAGATGAGGTATAGCGCGCGTTGGTGTCGCCAAACACCAGCACAGCATTACCGACCGAGTTGGCCTTGATGTAATCGGCCACCTGCTGCAGATTGGCGCTGCGGGCCTTCGCATCGTCGGCTTGGGATCTGTTCACAGTCAGTTTAGGCGACAGAACTGAAAAAGGAGAAATACCCAGCGTCAGCATGCAGATTGTAGAAATCCACATATACGCCCTCATCGACACGCACCCGCATCGAGGTGAAGCCCTTGGGAGTCAAACAGTCTGCCCCCTCGGCATCCGAGCACGTCCCCCACTTGGTCCGCACAAAGTTGGTAAATTGGAAGTTCGACAGCGTATTGAGGCCGGAGCCGATTCCCGCGCCGCCAGAGGTGGGAGTGCGGTAGGGATGGTTGTCGGTTTCATAGATGTACGCGTGGTAGTTGAAGTCCTGTTTCATCAGTTTCGTTCTGGGATATGAGGCTATGCTACAGACTGACCTCCTGCACATGGATAACATCGTATCCGTACTGGGCGAATTTCTGACCGATCTGACGAGAGTTTTCGGTCTTATCGCCTGGGACGTCGTTGCCGTTCAGGACGGCGGGCAGACCTGCGACGTTGAATGAGAGCACGCTGAACTCGCCAGCTGTGGCAGCCAGGGCTGGAATGCCTGCTCCGAGGAGAAGAAGAAAAGACCGCATTGCTATTGCTAATGACTCTCGTATAGTCGGGTAAGTTGAGCTGTGAAGTGCATGAGAACGTGCAGATATTCGCTGATATTTATACCTCCCACCCCGATGACGACAATGCGTCAATGCCAGACGCTAGCAGGCATAAACTGAGGACAATTAATTAATCCTGCACGTGTTGCAGTAGCCATTGGGTTGGTCTGGGTTAGCAGACTTGGCAGCTCGTCGCTAAGAGTGTTTTTATATTGAACCGAAGCTACCCCGTCCACGTGCGGGACTCTGTGGTGGATATCCTGACGAAGGATTCTCTTCTAAACGTGCGGAGTCTTCGGCTAATTCATACCTAAGGAATTCAGCCCTCCAGCGGATCCAGTGTCTCACCTTCGTGACTTACGTGCAAGTAATGCTTGGAATGAAGTCTGAAGAATCCAGTAAGGATCTTCCAGCAATAGAAACGTTTCCGTCCCGCTTACTCACTTGGTCTCCACGTTTCGGAATGATGAACCGAATAAACTATCTCCAAGATCGCTCAATAGAGTTGAGCCTACTCGATTCCAAAGTGTATTTTATAGCGTGCTTCAGTGTCTGCAATTGATCTATATCTCACAAAAGTCTTCTGTTATGAAATTGTCTATGTACTGGCCAACACCATGTTCTTGTCATCTTCATATAACCGCATGCCCATGTTGTTCGCTCTATCTGCCTTGGTCAGGCTTACACCGCGCTCTTTACTTCCATCCTGATACAGAAATAACAAGGGGATGGGATCGTTCTTCCATTTGGGAACCTGTGCTCGTCGAGTTTTCCATATCGTGCCGGCCAACGTTCCTGCCCCCAAAACCCAAACCAGAGCAGGTAAAACAATCCATGGCCATCGCACCTGAACATAGGAAACACTAGTCTTCGCCCGTCCAACCGTCATGTTTGCACGACTCAAATCCGAATTGGCCGCAACGTAGGCCGAGTCCCGGAAGGTCTTGGACATAGCCTGTGCCACGTTTTTCATGGCGCATTCCAGTTTCTCGACGGACCGGACATCACAACCTGTAATGTTCCCCAGCGACATGGCTTGGATGAAATCGCTTGGAGCGTAGATGGTAGGCTCCCGGGTCTTGAAAACTACGCTATTCAAAGTCTGCAGGTAGAACTGTCCGAAGAACAGACTGTTGAAAAAGTCGGTGATTCCCATGATAGCTGAGCTACCCAGCATAAACCGGCTGCTTGGCGAGATTCCCAAATCGGATCCCCATGGCGGTTCAAAGTAGAATCCAGTCGGAACGTTGGTCCAGTTCTTTTCCCATGAATAGAAACCCTGGGTCCAGACCCCCAGTGTCTCTTCGCGGTAGACATTGTCTCGGACAATTGCGCTGAAGCTGCGCACAACAGGCTCGATAGAACACTCCATCGCTTGCCATTTCCCTTCGCCCGGGGATTCAACAGAGGGATTGAAATCGTATGGCGCGATCATCTGGATAGGGGGGAGCGTAGCATTCTTGTACACCAGCGCTTGATCTGGCAGCACCGCAGCAATGGAGATGGATGCATATTCATACTGATATGGTATAAACCACGCGGTTGTATTAGACGGGAGCATAATAGTGCAGTTAGGTTGTCCAGCATAAGTAAGATTCTCCGGAACCTTGGTGTCACAGGACATATTCAGATCTCCCGTCACACTCGAGCAGATTGCACGCGCTTCCAACGTAGCAATGGGATCCCAGGTACAGTTACTGGAGCTGCATGCGTACTGCGGGATGGACCACGGTCGGGACTGGTCGTTATTGAAGAGGGAACTGTACACGTTCGCCTTGAGCACCGGGTCGATCCAAACCTCAGCGGCATGAGCCGTCGGTGGCCCAGCTGTATCGTAGGACGACGCGTTTGCCAGGAGTGCTTGTTGGGACGCATCCTCCACCATATTGGGATAATAGTGGATGAGATTCTGTGTGAATGGATCAAAGCCCAGTGCCAGTATGACTGCAAGACCACCCCAGATCGCAAAGTGCCTGCACCTCAGCGTCCAAATCAGTTCTGCACTCCCATAGAATCCCCGGCTGGCCGAATCGAACGTCCGAAGGTTCGACAAGGGCTGCGTCTTTTGCGCGAACCACACCCACTTTAGCTGTCCTATGGCCTCGCTGACCGAAAAGATAATGCACGCTTTGGAGATGGTACTTAACCAGGAAATGACTGTGTTCAGCGAGACGTGCTTCCATGTTGGTTGTGGCTTTCCGTCAAACTTGGCCAAGACGACGACCAAGGCAATGAGCGTCGCAGCAGATAGAATAGCGGCCAGAATTTCCCATACAAACCAGTCTGAAAATCCGGTCCACGTTGACTTCTGTTTGTCGCCTTCCCGTTTCTCTTTTTCGTTGGCGGCTACCGATTGGCCTTGGCTCGAGTTCGGAGCTTCGGGCTCACTCCTCTGTGAAAGTGTCTCGTGGGTCGAGTCGTCGTCCGCAACAGGTCTTCGCCGATCAGTCGGTTCCCCGGAACCGACTGAAAGAGCAGGAGAAATCGAGCGTTGACCCTCCTCGGGTGGCTCTGTCGACTGGTGTTGGATCATTTTGATACCATGAATTGATCCTCATATCAATGTTCGGTCGCAGGGACGGAGAGTCTTATTAAGTGATTCAGGGACCAGTAACAGCCTTGTGAGAGCCTGTCTGACCCTTTGACTGCCGATCAGTGTTGCAGCCCCCATGCTGAGGCTGTGTATGGATCTAACCACGGCCTAGAGGTGTACTGTGCCGATCTAAGAGCGCTAAGCTAGTTATCTTGCACAGATAGGCACCTTTGCAAACGCCTTAGCGTTCGGCCGAGCCAATAATGGGGTTTCATTCCTCCCCGAGCGGTGTTTGGACCTGTTGACTATGAAAACCCACATATACAGGCTACGAGCCTACGAGACTTTGTTCTCTAACGAATTTCCATTTTCTCCACCGCTTCGCAATGCTATCGGCCGCACTGGTTAGATCAATGTCCGTAAAGGACACCTACTGCTATTCCGTGCGGAGCCTCTGCTGCCCTTGTCACCATTCATTCCGTCGAAATCTATCTAAGGGCAGAAGGAGCGAATTGAATTGACGACTTCAGCAGAGCTCCGTCCATGTCTTGGTAAGGAGTTACAGAAGCAGAGAAAATCTAGTCTAGCTGGCTTCGGTGCAAATTCAGCTTCAATGACAAACCTCACTAGGCCCATTTGCCTATCAGCGCCATAATTCCAGCTCCCAGGAGTGTACATCCTAGCATGTACAGAATCTGCCCTCGTCTCTTTGTCCGACACGGATCAAACAAAAAGTCTCGTGCGAGCAGCTCCACCAACCCACTGTATATGAGAATCCCCGCCGATATAGCGTCGAGCACCCCCTGCACGATCATGGCTGCCTTCGAGCCTGGGTTATACGAAGTACGCACACCGAGCCCGATAGCAATGGCAACTGGCGTGGTGAGTCCGTATGCCAGGCAAAGAGCCCAAGGCAGCCAGCGGCGTTTGCCGAAATGGAGCGCCGACATGCGAGCCCCGATCCCCAAGCCCTCGAATGACTGGTGGAAGACCAGGACGGGGTAGAGTGTTGCGAATTCGTCGCCCGCCACGCCGAGGTTGAGACCGATGATGACAGAATGGAAGATGATGCCGAATTCAAGGATCAGAAAGGCGGCGATGTCCTGGCGGAAGGCCCGTTCGGAGGTAACGGAGACTTCGTCTGCGTGGTGGTAGATATCCTTGCTTCCTGCTGGGGACGGTATGTCCGTGGCAGTAAGCCTGTCCGAGGAATCGTGCGGACTGGAGCATGCTGGCTGGGTGATGAACGCTGCGGTAGCGTCTGCCTCTCGCTGCACGTTGTACTTCCACTCGACGTAAACCTCGGCGCCGACATCCATGAGGAAGATGATCATGACAGATGACAGAACAATCGCCGCGCACCAGGAGTACTCGCCCCAGACGCCGGACATGCCGATACATGTCCCTGGTCCGATGCTCTGGTAGGCGGGGTCCAGCAGGTGAATGAACGCGGTCGCCACGATGACCCCTGTCCCAAAGTATCGCGCAAATAGGTACACATGACGGGGGATACGCCACCGGGGGAGTCGCTGAGCAACCACGGGGAAGAGGGTAAATGCGGTAGACGTGACAAAGATGACAAAGATGGAGGATATGCGCGCGCCTAGGCGGCCGTTATACTCATTTTCCGACAACGAGAGGTAGCAGATGACATCCTCTTTGCTGGCGGTGTTGAGATCAACGTCGGAGGGGTTGAAGCTGGACATTGTGTTTGATAATTTAGCATCAATGTGCTGAAAACGTTTCTCCTTTATACGGCACCCTGGGTACCTTGAGGTTGCATTAATTCAGTCTACCTGCCAAGGTCCTTCACCTGGTCAATGAGATGCGGTGGGCGGTCTATTTCTAAGTAGACACAACTTTGTCAGCTAACTCTAACTCTTGTGGGGCGAGTCGAGAAAGAAGTGTCATCCCTGCGTTAGCCTGTCTTCAGGGTTGGGAAGCCGGAGACAGCAGTAGGTCTGGGGTCATCCGAATGAGAAACTGAGGACCTTGTTAGATCCATTACAAATAACGGACACATCATACCCTCAATTGACAGCCAAGTATCATTGTCATTTCACCCTGCTCGTACACATATTGTTTTAGTTGGTCATCAGTAATGCACTTCATGCGCGTCTAGCTGCTGGAATAGGCTTCTGAGACAACAGACGTCGTCAGTCGATATCCAAGGCAGAATTGTCGATCGCAACGTCCGGATCATGGAGTCAACGCATGGATGTCTCGAATGATCAATCCATCCGGTATTCGATGGATGTGATGCGAATCAACCTGGAATAAATACTCTAGCGCCAATCGTTGCTCAACTTCAAAATTGCCGGATTGAGCAGTGAACTCGTACGCGGGATAGCCTCCGCCATGACCATCGCCAACTTTTACTCGCCGACAAGCTGGATTTCGATCTTGCTAGGGCACATCATTACCTTCCCGTGAGAATCTTAACGAGGATCAACATTATCGTGAATGTCGTTCCGGTGGAGGTTCGAGCTTCATCAACTAGTGGTCAGCACAACTACCTCAAGCTGATCAGCTGTGTCTCACGAAGGGCGCAGCGCAGCGCAGTTGTTGAGAGCCTTGCAACCGGAGCCAGCTGTACTACAGATGGACACGATTACAGCCAGATTGGGTCAAACAATGATCTGCAGTCGAAAAGACGGTGGAACTTGCGCTGCCAAGAGACATCGCTGGTTTCATCCTGGACCTTGCTATCAATCTCTGACATACAAGGCAGCTGATCTCTTTCAGCGTCGTTATCAGATCATCCCGACTCACACTTGTCGACTGTGTCATTCTTTGTCATGTTCATCTTTGGTACTGCTGGTCAGTCTACATTCCTTACCTACTACTGTCTTCGTTTCGTTCCTAAGCGAGCTGTCTGCGGCCGATGAGTCGGTTCTCTCCACCTGGCTGGATGGTGAGGGTGAGATCACGGTTATGGACGCAAACAAGGTTGCCTCGTATGTTGTGGCTCATGCTGGCGTTGGCAAGCTCGGTTTGTGGCCAACATCTCCAAGCTCGAGTGCTGTTCCGTCCTCCTCGGTTTGGGTTAAGAGAGATGGCATCCGGTATTGTACTCGCGGCCTTTCGAACAGCCTCGTGAGGCTACATGGTTCTGGAAAATGGTTGTTCGGCCGACTGCATTGCCAGCTGGTTCAACTTCCGGAGAACTGCGCAGCAAGAGCACGGCATTCTTCCATCCTTCTTTTCCTGGGTTGGTCTCTAGGCACTGGTGCACCCGATCGGGCTGTATCAAGTGAAGACACTTATATGTCAAATATGGCGTTGAACGTCCTTTCTCCTTTCACTCGCATCTGCATGCGTAATTGGTAAGCAATCAGTGTGGTCAAACGATAGTCACAGTCCGGTCTGCGGAGTAGGCAATCAGACATATCCAACCTCGTAGTTAATTGAGCATTATGAGCCACTACACCACTTTCGAAAGTGCAGAACTCATTCAGCATGGTTGATGACGATATACAAATGATAACCCGGAGACTCTCGCTGTTATAGTCCCTCGCGTCATGCGTGATATTTGTAGCTCGCACAGTCCATTATTCATGAGACAGGAGCAGATTTCACCCAACACAGCGCTAGAAGCTTCTGGCCTCTTGTCCATTGTCCGTACGGCAAGGACACCGTTGAGACTCATCAGGAAGTGCCAAGATCCTATGTCGCACAGAACTTGCTCCACAGCGCTATGAGACTCTGCCATAACCAATATCGAGTCAAATTTGTACAGCAATACGATATACCTGACGCCGTTCAAGCCACTGACGACTCTTCAGGCTCTGCATACCAGTCCTTCATTCCAGAGCGGACGACTGTGTGTGATCTATCAAACTGGTCGATTGCCAGCGATCGCCTCCCGCAGATGCATGTGAACGGCAATTGATGAATCGCCAAAAGTACGACTTGGAGGCACTTGACCATTATGGGAAAGTCGACGACAACAAGGTGGAGTCATCATACAGCATCCATGGATATTAGCTTACCTGACAGCCAGCGGCTACAGCCGCGGGGATATTGGCGAAATGGCGACTACGGATCAAAAGTACCTACCCCAATCTCCAATCACGAACTGATTTAGACAAATGCTGGCCAATACAGACTTTGATATCTTAGTCCTTAAGGACGTTGTAACCCAAACAGGAATTGCGGTGGTCGATCCCTGCATGTTACCTGATACTGACATCGCCATTATCTTAGCAGGTCCGTGTCTTATGGATGAGGATGGGGAATGCACCCTGCCAGTCATCTCAACCCCAAATCGATCCATCTACATATTCAATACCCCATTCCCTCTCGAGAGGTCTTTCCTTCAATTTTAGCAGATCGTATGATTGCTATTTGCTAACCTTATCCGTGGCGTGGCCACTAGACCAAGATTTCCGCACGACCCCTGTAAAGAACCAAGGGTCATCACTTCAAATGCAGACCAGCAGTCATCTGCCAGACGTAACCTGCAGCTGCATCAAAAGGGCCATCAAGTAGGGGTGGCCTCAGGCATGTGAATGTGAATTGCAAACCCTTCTGCACTTCCACCCTGTTTCTCAACTGGTCGATTCCTCCGCGGAGTATCTCCGTATTATTAATCTTGGCCGACGTTCAAACTCAACTCGAATTTGAGAGATATAATCATATTAAGGCTACAATAATACGAAAGTGGGCTCGACAATAAGCCAGAGAAAGCGCCCAACCAGCAGCGAGATTCGGTGCCCCGGTATTAGTAACCTTTAGAAGTCTCCACTGCGACCCACAATAATTATAATAGCCTTGTCTAATACTCTGGTCTGGTCCCTTCTGTAGTACGCTCGCACCGACCCCGCTAGTCCGTACAGCTCCCGTGCTCCTGAAGACTGAATATGGATACCTCGAGTCAGTCAAGCTTGGTCAACTCCGTCATCTAGCAATGAGCGAATCTCAAAGCGACCAGCAGAAGAATCTGCCCGCTTCAACGGCGACAGCCAAGGCGGGCGCACGAAAGAAGACCCGACCCACCTATTCATGCCTCAACTGTCACAAACGGAAAGTAAAGGTATCGTAGACGTGCACTGGGGCGAAGAATTCAGCTAATCTGTCTTCAGTGCGACAGAGTGAAGCCATGCGGGGCCTGTTGTCTTCGAGGAACTCCGTCAGAGTGTGAATATGGCACCAGCAGGCGAGATCGCCACTACATCGAGCAGTCGGCTCTGATCGAGAATCTGATGCAGACCTGCGAGGACCTGAAGAAGCAGCTGGCCGAAGCGCGAGCGCTGGCCAATCTGCCGCCAGTCAAGCACGAGGATCCATTCTCAGTCTCGTCGCCGCATGACGTCGAGAACACGGTGGACGCGGAGGAAGAGTCGCAAAACCCGGAACCTCAAGTTTCTTCGTTGGTCAAGAAGTCGTCCGGCCCATCAGACGGATTAGTCTCTCAGAATACCAGTATACCATGGAAAGCAGATCAGTCGTCTCGATCGCTCAGTGAAGACAAACGGATCCTGACGGACCCAGCGGTTGCCAGTTCGTTCGTGGAACTCTTCGTCGAGCGACTCATTGACAATTTCAGCCCGCAGCCCGCCTCTCTCTACGGCGGCACCATTGCTCTGCGCGAGGCATCCGGGATGCGAGTTCTATCGCCTATGTTATGTACCGCATTCGAGGCTGCATCCTTGACATTTGCCGGTCGACGGGAACAGATCCGCGAGGTGGAAGCCGTAGGACATGCTCGCTACGTCCGGGTGCTCCGACAACTGCAGAACGCCCTAAACGATCCCAAACAGAATAAGTCGACAGAAGTGATGGTTGTTGTGTTGTTGTTCACCATCATCGAGGTACGTGGCGTTTGCCCAACGACTCCGCCCCTACTGACAGTTGCAGGCCTTCAAACAAAGCTCCAAACAGTCCTTGTTGAAGCATCAACTCGGCGGACTGCAATTGCTGCAAGCGCGGACGCCATACCGCCATCGTTACGGCATCGATCGGTCGCTGTACGTCGATCTCCGCTTATATTGGGTAGGTGTCCTCTCGAATGTTCAGGACCGCGCTAACTGGCCAGGTTACTGCTGCGCTCACCCAACGCAAACCCACCTTCATGGCGACTAAGGAGTGGCTCACCATCCCCTGGCCAGGAGACGCTCCATCCAAGGATATCCTCCACCGACTGTTGGACATCGCGGTGGACATCCCGGCTTACCTCGGGCAGATCGACGACTTCGGCGCGGCCCTCCGGTCCGGCACCGCGTCCTCGACCGAGCTCGTCGCACAGCAGGCCGCCATCTGGGACCGCGCGACAGAACTGCAGACACGGCTGAACCTGTGGAAGAGCATGTTCGCCGACACGTACCCACCCGGCCAAGCATGGGAGGAGCCCGCACCTGATCCCGCGACCAAGCCCGAAACTGAAACCGAAACCACGCCCAGCTTCCCGAGATTCATGTGCCGCGACCCGGCGACAATGGAGCTAGTGCCGGCCAAGCTACTCGTCTACCCGGACCTGCTGTCCGCAACCTGCATGACCTACTACTGGGCGCTGCATCTCATCGTCTCGACGACGGACAGCGGGCTGGTGAGCGTGCTGGGGCTGCAGGAGCGGTACCAGTATGCGTGCAACATCTGCCGCAGCATGAAGTACTACGTCGAGACTATCCCGGGGTGCCTGGTGTCGCGGACGATGTTTGTGCTGCGGACGGCGTTTGATGCGTTTGCGGATGGGATGGTCGAGAAGGAGTTTGTCACGGAGGTGTTTCGGCATATCGCAGACAAGTTTAATTTTGCGGTTTTTGCGAATCAGTGTGCGTCGTCGTCGGTTAGGGGTTAGTTTATATCTATCATAGCAGATTGTCAATTGGCAGTCCATTGGTTAGCATTAGATATCATCATTCATCATTTCCTATTTACATGGTATATGTATGTACTTTTGATTGTTATATACAAGTAGCATTGTCATATTTGCTCTCGCGACGCCTCGTGCATTTGTGAGCACTCTCCGATGCGTGTCACATCATCGCACTCGATCTATTTCATCTCATCGACAGATGAGTATCCGAGCGGAGTTGGCGTCGCGGCGCCGGTCGGAATCGAATTCCAGCGGACCTGGCCGAGGTCGGCGGGCAGTCTTGCCCGTTTCCCCCGTGTCCCTTAAAAGGGCGATAGATCTCCAAATAGGAGTAGTAGTAACACCGAGTGCAGCTGCATACTTGTGCCTATCTACTCACGCAGGCGCCGGCATCTGGATAAACGCCTCCTTGCTGAATTCCATCGAGATGGGGTCTCCATTTGCGTAGCCGTGGCCATATCCGGGGTCTTGCTGGCCGTGACCATACGCATACCCGAATTCCATCGCAGACGCAGAAGGTGAATTAATAGTGAATCCACCCGTGGGATCAACAGGTAGCCAATTCGCCGTGAAGCGGGTACTGCCGTCGGGCATTTCGAGGGGCGTTAGCGCGTCTGCCTCGTCTTCCTCCTGGTGAGTATTATTTACCCGGTGAGAATGAGAAAAATGGTGATGAGGAGGATGATGCACGTGGCGGGGCGGGCGGGGGACTGATTGGAAGGAGTCGAGCCTATCGGGCAATTTGTAGAAATGCATGCCGAGCGAGGGATCCAGCTCGCGGTCGCAGTCCCAGTCCCAGTCTTCGTCGCTTTCCTTGCTTGTTGTGCTTGTTGTGCTGGGGCTGCATGGGTCTAGTGATGGAGAGGAAGAGTTCCGGTTTGACGAGGACGATGTTGATGAAAATGTCGAGGATGAAGGGGAGGTGAGGCCGGATGGAGTCATAAACAGCGCTCGTTCGGCTGCATCTTGGGATGTGGAGCGGAGGAGGGAGAGACTGTCGGGAGCCTTTTTCCCGTGGCCGAGGGTGAGATCGGGGAAGGGAGGTCTACATCATTAGTTCAGTTAGTTCAGGTTGCTCTACAGGACAGAAAAGAGAAGACTCACACTGAAATGAACTCCATGCCCTGTGCAAACATCTCCGTATCCATATCCATGTCGATTCCCATCCCCGTGTCAATTGGCGGTGTATGCGTCTGCATAAACCCTGTTGCTGGTGCTGCCTTTGCCGAAGTTTGTCCGTACGGCAGACAATTATCCGAGCTCAGCAACGCAAAGTCGCTCTCGCCGCGACCATGAGAAGGGAACTCAAAACCAAGACTCATGGCCTCCTCCGGCTGCAGTTCCTGTTGCAGAGGCGATGCTTGTCCGATTGCATCGAGGAATTGCCAACTTGTGTAGTCGTAGGGGAGGTCGGTCATGTTGACTGGATCTGTTGTATAGTGCGTATGTCGACTGTCCGAGTAGTGTCACAGCATCCCAGTCGTGTAGCAATAGCGATAGCAGAAGTGACTGTTATCCTTCTAGTGGTGTAGTGTATAGTCCAGACTCATCAACATGTAGAATTCAGCAGCAGTATACTAGAAGAACAAGCTGGGGACCACGCCCTTAATAAAGGCTGAACTGAACCCATCGACCGGCAAAAAACATCACCAAGCTAAGGAATATACTCCGTCGCAGGCACAAAGAATCAATTATGGGGTATGGGGAAGCTCGCCAAAATGCATCCAGGCACCATAATCGGCAGCAACATTGCCCAACTCGGCAAAATACCTCGAAGCGAGCGTACTTTGTCGACAGAATCGACACGGAGCTGTCAAGCTCAACACACCAATGACCATCTCCCTTCTCCTGGGAATAAACCATAGGGCCATCACATTGCCATGTGCGGGCAGCTGGATCAATTAACCGAGCTGCTTCCCCGGATTTCGAACGCCGCCAACGGCTAGAACTGAGACAATCAGACAATCATGGGCCGACTACAAAGTCAAATAATCCGTCCTCTGGCCCGGCCTCGGGTCTCGTGCCTTGTAGCCCTGGGTCTGGGCTGGGGCACTAGCACCAACTGGTCAGCTTCTCCGCTTCGGTTAATTGGGCCCTTCGGCTGATTCTTTTTTACCCGAGACTCCCTCAACTGCTCGGTCCAGCGGTTGGCGACTCTAGCCGAGTGTCTGGGGTAACCTCATTGTCAGATTCAGCCGTGACAGGTTCTGAATTTTCCGAGGTTGGGTTACTGTATGGTTGTTTCCCAGCCCTACGAGACAGGAGGCGATGCTATGACTTGCCGGGATCATCAATTCCAGTAGAATTTATCCTAATAGTGATGTGAGAAGCTTGCTATCTGAGCCGTACGGGTGAACTGTGATATATACATTGTATATTCAACTATAGAGTATTGCTATGCATTAGGCATAGACTGAAGTACATGACATTGCAAGTACCGACGGCAGTTCGTTCGAAACAAACGGAGATATCTACTAGCGAACTGACTCGCCAGTAAACTAGTGGAGCCTGTGCCCCTGTCCCTGCAGATACTCCAAGATCTGTTGTAAGACATTTAAGGGCTAACGCACAACTCACTGCCGATCAATCCTAGCGCATCCAGCCAAGGCGAACTGCGACGGCGAACCTCCGGGCAATCCTCCGTAGGCCTTCTCCACGACAGTGGAGTCTGGGGAACTCGTGCTAAAATTAGAGTGCCAACCCGGTACCTTTTCTCGTCCACCGGTACAGTGCCAGAACGGCCTTGCGCCGGTGCCGGATCTCGCTGTGGTTCACAGGACGTCCCCGTGCCTGCGCAACTGCACTACGCATGACTTGGCGGAAATTCCGCTGGTATTCCGTGTTGAGGGTGACGACGCAGGATTCCGTCGCGCGGATCATCACCTCGCATGCGTTGAGAATGCCCTCTCCCGCCTCCTTTTGTAGTCGCTCCACAATCAGCAGGAGGAGGAAACTGCCTTGCAGGAGCTGGATGCCAAAGAAATAGGGCATGAAGCTGATGTCCGGATCATAGCGGAGAATCTGGTTGACCGAATCGGCCGCATCCAACGCATGCGAGATAGTAGTGGCAAAGGCGGGGGACGAGGTCCAAAAGTCCTTGTCCTCGATGAGCGAGACGGGATCCCACTTGCCGACCAGTAGAATGTGCAATACATGCACCAGATATGACGCGTACGCGATGACTGTCTGAGTATGCCACGAGAATGCTTGAGAGAGAGCGGGTTCAACAGGATGATCGGGGGTGGAGGGAGGAAAAGTGGTGGAGAGCGGCGCTTCGGGGACGGCGGTGGTCGCTGCAAAAGTGGTCAGGCTCGCTTTGTAAATCTCGAGCTGCCGCAGCACCTCGCTGAGATGGGCGTCCCAGCCGTCCTTCCCGTTTAGTCGGGATCCAAGCATGGGATGATTTCGTGCCTGGTTAAGATCGATCAATTCGCCCGTGATGGTCATCAGGGGTAGAAAGAAGCCAAATATCGAATGATCATGGCAGATAAAGTCAGGAAAAACCCGGCGCTTGTTCTTGTCTCCCGAGATAGGGCAATGGGGCCCGTCCGCCCTGGGGCTGTTGCTGTGCACGTTGCCAGCCTGCCACGAGCCCTCGTCCAGCGGTAGCAGCAGGTCTTCACTCTCGGCATCCAGCAATGCCAGCGGTCGATTGTAACACAGGGCCAGGTGGCGATCCATAATGTATAGCAGCCACCAGGTCCGGCGGCGTTCTTCCCGGTGCTCTTCGGTGATGGTCGCATGGGGGTCATGGCTCCGGTCGCAAACGCAGTTCAAGCTGGGTCGCGTGGGATTCGAGTAATCGAAGAATGCGCCAGTGTCGACGCCGCTCCAGCCGGGCAGGGAGTAGTCAAATGCGGGACTCGAGCCTTCGGTCTGGCCATCCGCGTTGGGTATCACTTCGATTTCTTGGTTGAGTTTCAATTCTCTAGCAAGGGTGAAGGCAGCATGCCACCTGGACTAGTCAGTCTTCAGACTCAACCGGAAAAAGTTGATAAACAAACCATCGCATGCTAGCGGCCTTTTGTTCACTAGAAGAAATTATCGATGCAACATGGATATAGGTAATCACATCATCCAAGGAACCCGCAGGCCCGACTAGACCGCGATCATCGCCGCTTGATTCAAACGGATGGTGCACGGTGGTGGGAGGACAGTCTGGACCGACCCCAGTGAAGGTCGGATCATTCGCGTTCGAACCCCCTTGCTCCTTAAACGACACGTGTATCAACGGTCGGAGTAATCGAATGGTCAAGGCGCACAGAAACTGGCAGATCTTCTTGCGCTGAGGCGGCGAAATGGAGAGCGCAAACGCGCGGTCATCCAGGGCAGCAACCCAGAGCATGCTTGCCAGGAGAGCCGGACTACTGGGTCGAGGGTTCTCCCGGCTCAGGAATGAGGCCTTGCGAAGGACGTAACAATGGATGTGGTGGCACACGGGGTGCATATGCGTAGAAAAGGCGCTCGTAAAATATAACTCGAGAAGGTCAAAAACCAGCCTCCGCGGTAGATTCGCCTCGAGAAACGGCATGAGCGGTTGTAGTACAGGATATTTCAAGGTCGTGGACGAAATACTGGATGCCCGAGCCGCACCGGCAGGCTTGGACCCCTGCACAGTCGGAGCACTGTACCCGGCCAGGTCCACGCCGTTCCAGATGTCCAGCACCCGGGGCAGCGGACCGTCCCCCCAACCCCCTCCCCCCAATACTTCATATGAGTCTGGAGACACATGGGCCGCGGACAGCCATTCCTCCGTCACATTCCCGTTTGGCCCCGGTCTTTGCCCCGGTAAGGATGGATCCGCTTGGGAGCGTCGGTCGTCTATACTATGGGCGGAAACCGTCACCTCGTTCGTCGCCGGCGACCGATGCTGGAAGGTCGTGGTCGGCGAGGCATGGTTCGGCACTGGCGTTGGCGCCGTATCTGCTGGCACCGCTGCTGGCACTGGAGGCTGCCCATTAGCGGCCTTGGACAGCTTCCCCATCGACCCGCCGTTCGTGGCTGCTGCCATCTGTTTCGACCGTGCAATCCGCCCTCGTTTCCGTCTTTCGCGCGTAAATTCGCAATGGATCTCACTGCGAAGACAGCGCGAACACGGAAATGCCCGGTCGCATCGCACGCGCCGCGAATGGCATGAGTCGCAGGCGATACGATTTCTCCTCCATCGACGCTTTGCGGCGTTGGACGAATCTTCCAGCGTTCCTGCGGTGTTTGTGCTAGTAGGCTGTGCATCCCCCGACTGGGCAGGATCCATTTCAGACCGACATTGAGTAGAATAACGCGAGTGGGGGTAAGTTTATCTAAGAGAACAAGAAAAAAGACAAGCAGTTAGCGGTGGGTCAAAATGTCCGCGACAAGGGATTTGTGGAGGTGATACCGAGGCACAAAGAAGCGTGCAGAGAGAGCTTCAAAATCCCCCTTGTCAACAGAAGAGGTTCATGAGAATAGATCTTGGTGATGAGAACGATCCATAGCCCGAGATTCACGATGCGAAGGATTCGTTGGAGAGAATTGAAGCTGGACAGACAGAGTGGCTCAGGCCGTGTAGGAACTTAGAAAGACGCCGACCCGATCGCGGGGAAGACACCCAAGACGGAGAGCAACTCCGCATCGAATCATCGGCTGACCTTTTTTTTTACCCTGGACTCTTGGCAGTGTGGTCCAAGTGGAGAAACCGTGAATTGGCAACGGCCAGACCATGGGCAGTTGAAGTTCAAGAGTACGGTAGAGGAGGATGGAGTACGGATACTCCGAGCGAGTTTGGTGTTCTTTGCTGCTGGCACGTGGTGGACGGTAATGTAGCCAATGTAGCCCCCTGCAGCCTGTCGTCTCTAGACTCCTTTCTCGTCCTGCTCGTAACATCCGTCCCTCGGCACGGCAACGAGTGTCTCATCTGCCAGGATCGGAGTGGATCCTACAGAGAACCAGTCGGTAGATAGTTGGTATTAACGACTAAGTACGCTCGGACCATGACTCCATGTAACCATTCTGCGTGCCGTCTATCCAATGGATGGGCATCAAGTGAAACTGCGAAACTTCGGGATGCCCCGAAGTTCCTCCGCTCTATCCCACTGGCTTTCTATTATTGACACTCGGTGAATGCTCCTGAGATCGGTAGTGATCATACATACCGTGCACACAATTGTTGTCCGTTCCTCGGTGCTGGGAAAACAGGCGACCGTCAATACTAAGGTATGTCAAGGATCAGGAAGTCCTTGGATATTACAGGTCGAAAATCTCCTCGGCTGCATAAATCTTCGACACAGGCACTCGTTGGAAACGACAATTACTAGTCTATTTCATAATCATACTAATATGCAGAAAGCTTCTTCTAACCCCCGTCATGGTCCACTCTCACCCGCCTGTTTATACCGACGCAATGCCAGGTCTCTGCTCCTGGAGTGATCCACCATTGGGCGTGGATACCCATTCTTCTCTGCAATGGCCCCCGCTCCTCGTGCGTAGGGCTCATGTATCGCCACCCCTTTGATCTCACGCAGCTCAGGCACCCACTTTCGTATATACTCTCCATCTGGATCGAACCGTTCGCTCTGACGGAGTGGATTGAAGATTCGAAAGTACGGCTGGGGATCCACACCTGTACTCGATCCGAATCCCCACCCGCCGTGGTTGGACGCAAAGTCCCCATCGATGAGATTCTCCATGAAGTGTCGCTCGCCACGGCGCCAGTCGATAAGCAGATCCTTTGAGAGAAAAGAGGCGACAATCATACGCGTCCGGTTGTGCATCCATTTGTCATGTTTCACCTGTCGCATTGCGGCGTCCACTATAGGGAACCCAGTTTTCCCTTCGCACCACGTGTTGAACTTGGCCTCATCGTACTCCCATTCGAGGTTGGTAAATTCAGGCTTAAAGCATTTGTTCATGCTGCTCATGTTAGATACATTGCGAAAAAGAATGAACTGAAGCCTTACCAAATGAATGGCCAACGCACGAGGACATGTTTGTAAAACTCTCGCCACGCCACCTCACCGATCCAGTGGACCAGTCCAGGGTCACCATGTTGCAGTGAACCCTTGTTGGCTCTGCGCGCGTGCTCGATTGCCGTTCTCGCGCTGAGCAAGCCAGATGCGAAGTAGGGACTGAGGATTGAGGTCGTCTGTCMACACACCATATTCCGTGCCTCCGCGTAGTCTCTCACCTTCTCTTCCAAGAATGCCTCCAACCGACGCAGCGCTTCATGCTCGCCTGCCGGATATAATTGACCTAGGTGCTTTTTCTCCTCCTMCGACAGCTGCTTGCTCTCTGGTGCAGCAGGAACCTCGCTGTCAAATAACTCCTTAAAGTATTTCCGCGCATCACCTGGATTCGATCCCGGCTCCTCCGATAGTTCCAGACAGTCACGATTCTCGTTCAGATAGGCGAGCCACGTGCGGTACCAGGGAGTATACACGGCATACTGCTTACCTTGCTGACTGGCTACCTGTCCAGGGGGAACGACGCATGCATCGTGGGCGGTCTCAAACTTGACTCCGTTCTTTGCGCAGAGCCTTACCAGCTTCGCCTCGCGTCGCAACTCGTCAACCTCATATTCCAGGTTTGCGTAGAGATGATTTGCTCCCCATTGCTGACACAGATCTATAATCCGCTGTGGTATATCTTTGCGAATTTCCTGCGTCTCCATGTACAAGGGGATATCCAGCTCGCTCAAATCGCGCTTTAATTGATGTAGAGTCCGCAGGATCAGATCTACCCGCGCCGGACTCAGCAGATGAGCCGTCAAATCCTGCGGCGACAGAATATACAATCCGATCAGCGGGATATTGTGTTCCTTGGCGGTCTGATATGCCATCCGCAACCCGCGATTATCATGTAGTCGCAGATCGGACTTGAACCAGTGCACCACTGCAGTATTGGCCCTGATAGCCCTGCGCTGGTCGGCTGTCTCCTCGTAGGCCCGCTGGAGTGACTCGATCGGTCGTTCCAGGGTTCCATCATTGTAGGCCTGGCAACGCTCGTTGCTCATTTCCGGCGGATAGAATTCTCGCAACACGATACCAAAGTCCTCGGACTGTTGCGCATTGGGATGCGGACGTGACAGGTCCAGCTTCCCGCGTTTGCTGGGTTGTGTCGTGCCATTGCTGTTTGAGCCTGCGGTCTTGCGTTTCTGGGGCGCCATTCTTCATGCGCGACTAGAGATAGGAGTTACTTGGTTTCTTTAATACTTAATACTTCCGATCCCTTGTCGGCGCGATCGTTTCATCAAGAGCTGATTGGACCGGCCACGATCGATCTGACCCGATCGAGCAGCTCCGATCGCACGGTCCAATCTGACGTCAGAATCCATGGTTCGTATGAAATTGTCCCCAACTGTTTTGTGTAGGTTCAAAATCTACGCCCCTCACTCCGGAGACCCTTGGGTAGCATAGTTGGTAAGGGCGGTTATGACCTCACTGCTACAGCCACGCTCGTCTTGTCAGCATATTATCATTGATTTTAATACAGATCCTTTTCATTGGAGATGTAAAAATAGATTTGGTCTATCACTGTGATAGCATTATCTTGCGTCTATGACTATGGTCCTACTAGATATGGCTGGGAAATATATATAACCTATTCGGCGATTACCTCCTTGCATATCTTATTCTCCAGTAGATAATTATTGCAGAGGTCTCATCCCTCAATTCTGTCAACCGACGAATTGGACTCTCATACCTCAAATCCACACGTAGAGACACATGTAGACCATTGTCCTTGTGCCCACCAAAGGAATCTATGTTTGTCTTGGAGATTCGGACCCTGTAAGGACTTATCACATATCTGTCTGTTCCAGTTGACAGATCAACTTAAACTGCCCAGTGCACAAATTCATCACTTGTCCCCTGCGGAATTAATTTCTACAGGAGCAGCGAGGGAGAATTCGGATATGATTTCCGTCCATGAAAATGAAGCAGACTACAGAAGGTTTCTATGACTTCATCACTTCCACCGCCAAGTCTATCCTCCGGATGATCTTCGTCCTATATCGCCCGTTTCTTTCAAGGTTTCGCGTAGTTGCCTTCTTAAGGATCAAAGTTGCTGAGGTCATATTCATTTGCCCAACGGGGAAAAGAACCGAATACAGATTAGATACCCAACTATCAGCCAGAGCTGTCCTTGGTTGCGCAGATCGATTTCGACAGTCCCCCCTTGCGTCCTCCTATCATGCAGCACTGGCTCCCATATAAAGTTCCAAGACACCCACCCAACTCGGTCTCCTTGTCGAATCTGGTCTCGCCTGCAGAAGCATTCTCAGGGTAGAAGGGAAGTCAAATACCCCACGGGGTACTTGCATTTTCTCTACTCCGTTTCCTCAACAAAGTCGATCTACCGGCCGAGGGAAAAAGCACAGAATGGACGAAACAGTGACCTGTCATATAAGAGCCATCAGTATCGCCAGTGTCTGCTTGTCATCCTGAGCACCTATCCACATCCCTGAATTGACAATATCTAAACAAGACAGGCACCCAACATGGGTGCCTCTTCCCAATGGCATCCCCCCCACCAACATCAACCGCAACCGCATCCTCGCAATTCCCCGTCGGCTCCATCCTGCAGAATATTCACATCAACCAGACGCAGAAATATGTCTTCTCGGCTTTTGCCGGCCTGGTCTGGTACAACGCGATCGAGCTCATCGTTCTCTGCCTGACCACCTTCAAACGCTACCACGGCTGCTACTTCTGGTCCCTCCTTCTCGCCTCCATCAGCCTCATCCCGCACACCCTCGGCTTCTTTTTCCTCTTCTTCCTCTCCACATCAGTCAGCCCCTATGTCGCCGTCTCCTTCGTCATCCCCAGCTGGTGCACCATGATAACCGGCCACTCGCTCATCCTCTGGTCACGCCTGCACCTCGTCCTCCAGAAACCAAAGATCCTCCGCGCCATTCTCGTCATGATCATCGTCGACGCCATTACCATGCAAATCCCCATCGCTGTGTTGCTCTACGGCGCCGTCTCTCCGAACGCGGCGCACTTCACAACGGGGTACAACGTCATGGAGCGGATCCAGCTGATCGTCTTCGCGCTGCAAGAAATCATTATCTCAAGCTTCTACGTCTTCGAAACAGTCAGGATGCTCCGCCTGCGGCCGCCGGAAGCGCGGCACCGGCAGATCCTGACGCAGCTCCTCGCGATCAATATCGTGATTCTCGTGCTGGACGTTGCTGTCGTCGGGACCGAGTATGCGGGCTACTATGCCGTGCAGGTGATGTTCAAGCCCGTGGCGTACAGTATCAAGTTCAAGCTCGAGTATGCGATTCTCGGGCGGTTGATCCAGATCGCCAAGGGGGGCCCGTCCCTCGAGCGCGAGCAGGTCTCGTCGAGTGTGCAGGGCTTTCACTCTGATCCGTCGGAGCGGATGGCCACGGTGGGGAGCGCGAGTCTGAGCAAGACTCCGGGACCCAGTCCGGACAGTGCAGGAACGGGTATGTCGTATGTCCGCGATGAGGATACATATGCCGCAATGAGGTTTCATGAGAGGCAGTCACTTTGATCGGACTACCTAGGTAAACTGAAGACTGTAATATAGCTGTACTAGATCACTTAAAGTCTCTAATGATAAACATATGGTTTATTTTGCTGCGCAATGTAAGGCCCTGACAGTATGTCTATACCCGTTCAAGAGCCCCTCGTCTCTAAGGTAACATTACTCCTTAAGCCGTAATATTGATAAATGATTGGAATATTGCAGGTCTCTGTGGACTCTGAGGAAGGGAAAAAGTTAAGAAGGGAAGCGGTCGAGTTTACTAGAACTTTAGTAACTTGCTTTCGTTTGGCCAGTGAATGAATCTATTACCGTCCTTGTCTCGTCCTCAACCTCCGCGATGAAGCGTCTGCGGTCCCGATGGAATAGATGTCTATAATATTCCCCAAAGAACACTCTGCATAGAGGATACTAGCTTAGTGTTGAGCAATTGTGGTATACGGGTTGTGAGTAATCCATTGCTTGTCAGTGCACCTTTTGTTGGTGCAAGCAGTTACCCCGGGGCGAAAGCATTAGATTGATTAACTATGTAAGGAGTGTATCGAGTGAGGTTAAAGCACAAAACTCTCCACTAAGAGTAACCATCCGCGATTTCTTTCGGACCGCCATTATGAAGCAGGAGGCTAGGGCAAGAGTTGTATTGGCCGGGTTATTTACCAGTACTTGAAGCTGGTATCTTCGGACTCGGTGTTGGGCTGCTGGCCTGGCTGAATAGCATTATTTGCAGGCCAGTTGGGATGACCCTCGGCACGCTTCCAGTACTT